TCATAGTAATCAATAATCATAGAAATAAGCGTGTGGTGATTTGTTGTGCCCTATAGTTTGATAGAATTTATAAACTTCCGGTAGTTAATTAGATATGAAGAAAGTGTTTCTTTACCTCTCGTTTGAAGACGAAATGTGATTGTCTATACTCGGGCAAGAACAGAGTCAAGCACGAAATTCCATGTGCAAGGCATCGATTACAATATGGCTTTCTAGTGCGATTTTCATCTTCTGGTGCTTGTGAAGGCGAGTAGATGAGTTATGACGAATGTTCTGAGTATATGCACACCCTCGTCTAAACCGGTTCATAACTCATCTACTCCGGTTCACATCCTCTAGCCGAAAATCACACTTAAAATCTCAACAAGAATTACAAGTGTATAAACGGACTTTGATATATATGAGGGAGATAGGGAATTTCTCAAAGAGGTATATATGCATGGCATGCAAATCGGGAAAGAACGAGATTTTGTTCTTAAATCGCGAATTAAACTATCTTTAAATTTACCACAAGACCTGATCGTTCTTAAATTTGAATCTGAAATAATAATTAGGGTACTCAGACAATAGTTTTTCTGTAATTCTCCAATTAGAAAAATGCGGTTTCGACTTGCCATATTTATTAATCGTATTTGACCATTTTTGGCCATGGACATTTGACAGCTAATAAAAAATAACAACGATAACATGGCCAGAATTGGATTAGCCCTTTTTTTATACACCTTGTAATATAGGTGTGACCAGATATGGAAACTTATTTCAATTACTTTTCGTAATTTTTCATCCGGAAGATTTTGATAATTGAAAATTTTGTTTTGACTGATAATGTATTTGAAACTAATTCAGCATTTATTCACTTTTTTATGTCATGGCCTTGACTGTACCCTGGCTGTTTACCATATATAAGAAAATTTTGTATTGTTCTCTGATAAGACCTTAGGTTGAATATGCTAGTTAACTCTGGTCTCGTGTTTTTCTTAAAATGTCAACATGGCTTATATTGCTAAAAAAAAGACTCCTATAAATATGTTACTATAGATCTTTCGATACTGACAATTTCATTGAGATTAGACGTAGGCTGAAATCCATAGACATTCTAGTATTTCCTTAGAGTGATTTATAAGGGCTTGGAATTCATTGTCACATGAAATTAAGATGATTAAAGGAATTATATATAGTGTATGCATGAGGAAAATAAGAGCCAAACGTTTTAGCGAATAGTCTAGTTATATACCCTCAATCACACTCTGACTTATACGCCCGTATTCTAAAAGCTCACTCACACTCAATGAGTGGAGGTTCAATCTGAGCTTTTCTTGAGTGTCAATGCTGTTTTTGAATAGCTGGAGGGTGAGTAGTCACATATAGTAAAGCCTGACGCACACGATGCGATTTTAGTCGGCCGATAAAAATCGTTTGACATACCGATATACATCGGTACTGCTCCGCACACGATTGAACTGTAGCCGCCATGTTGCCTAATAAATACAAGCACGTGATCACAGCATGAAATCTGATTGGTTATACTTAAAATTCCACCGATAAAAATCGTATAATATCAAAGCGTTTTGATGTTGTCCGATTAAAATCGAGCAACAAAAATCGGTTAAAAATGACACCACACACACAAAGATTTTGTTAGTTTTAGTCAAACGATTTTTATCTGCCGACTAAAATCGCATCGTGTGCGCCAGGCTTAAGGTTCGACACTAACCCTCCAGCTATTCAAACTAACAGCATTGACACTCAGAGAGTTGAACCTCCACTCATTGAGTGTGAGTGAGCTTTTAGGATACGGGCGTTAGTCTTGTATAGTCCATTTTACATTATTCATCAGACTTAATATTTCTTTACTAAAACAAAACAAAAATGTACTTCCATAATGTAGGTCATAGTTTAAACCCTATACCACAGGTGTTTCTGAAACGTTTGATGTGACCGGTTTTACGAATGACTACGACAGTACGAAACAACTGTTTTGGGGAACACTGACCTGCACAAAGTCTAAGAGATGCAAAATTGGCTTTCAGGTTGGGGCTGGGGGCGATAAAATTGGCTCGTACAGTTGCAGGTAATTTTTGTCTGTCATGGTATAATATTTTGTCACCTGGTCTTGTAATTGCTATGCACTAGTGAAAAATCCTGGTTCACTTCATCACTCACTACCTGCAATATTGAGTTTTTCCATGTGTGATTTGTTTTTCGGTTTATATGAGGAATTAGCGCACAATATCAAATTCAAACTATACACACCTACTCATGCCGACTTTCTAAGCTTCTTTGCACTGTAAATATAATTCCTGAATATTTTGTCTCAAAACTTGTCAAGAGTGTTAAACACTGAGCCGTTTCCTCAAACATTTCTTACAAATCCATCAAAACGTAGAATAGTTAGCAATGCAAGATTCATACTGTGATTTACATGCAAAATGACTTCAAATTTTGAGTAAAATTACGCAAATTTTATGAACCAATTTAATCATTTTTTTTAGTAAAGTTTCAAGTTCATTCAATCTCTTTCAAAAGTAAATATTTCCATTGCTGAAAAAATGAGTAAATTGCTCATAAATGTGAGTAATTTTACTCAATCTTTTGCAATCTTGCACTATATATGCCCATGGGATTATCCCTGTTTTGACAAATGGATAAATTCATGGAAAATTGCAAACTATTTCCTGACGTAAATATCAGCTATCAGTTACTGACAGTCAATTAGTTACCAAGGTGCAGAATAAACAAAAATAAACATAACCATACAACCACCGAATTCCAGGCAATCAATCTCGTGAAAAACACGTGTAGAGCACATGACAGGTTATTTTGCGATGATCTGCGATTTCAAGAGACATGAAGGAACAAATTTCATTTTTTATTTACTTTCTATATTTGCCAATTTACATAATTACAGAGAACAAGCAAAACATATATGTTTATATAAACATATTTTATGTAAAAATAGGGCTGAGAATCTACTAGAAACCACAAAGCTTTGTATCTTTATATATCAATCAGTTGTAATTTATCCTGTTTCCTCTTTGGTCACCTATGCCCTATTTTTTTAATCTGTTCATTATTTGTACATTTTTGAAGAATTTCAATAAAGTGCCTAAACTGTAGATAGTTCGAGTGTGTTTTAGGGAACGAAAATGAACGGCGGTTTGTGCATGCGTGAGGGTATAGGTAGTGACATGCAATAGAGAGGTTTAGCAAAGCCAAAGACGACGTGAAAATGGTGTAAAAATGGCGTGGGCATGCACATCCATAGATGGGCCAGTATCACGCCATTTTCTCGCCATTTTCACGTCGTCTTTGACCCCGCGTCATCTTTGCTAAACCTCTCTAATAACACCAAAAATCTGTGGATTGATCTGAGGGATTCAACTACGTGCAAAAATACAAGTAAAAATACAAGTTCTTGTCGGTGACGCGCAAGAAGACCTCAGTTTCTTTTCCCTATATCACCTTGAGAGTTGACGACGAGAAAAACCTTTGCGTATAAATCACTCCTTTGCGTATAAATCACTAGGAATTTGCGTATCAACACCAAATGGTATCAAAAGCAAACAGGCAGCTTGGTGTTCTTAAGAGGACTTCAAGTTCAGTGCTACTCACTAACATATGCAGACATCAACATTAGACATACATATTATATCTTTCGCTGGTGAAGTCGAAGCTCAGCTATATGCAACACAAGTTTGGTCGCAAACACACAACAGACAACTCAGTGAAAGGATTGAAAGAGTTCAAGTGACGAAGAGCCACGAAATGGATTCTAAGAACCGGGACTTGTCAATGCCCTACAAGCAACGACTTGCTAATTGTTAAAGTTGGAACTCTTCATACCACTTTCCTACGATATAGAGACGAAAGATCGTTGTACATGGTTACGTCGATCTTAACATTAACAATTGCGTCTCTTTTATTCAACTCGACCGGCAGCCAAGCCACTGGGCACTGGTGTAATCGACTTCAAACTCCCGATGTGCATGAGAACTGCTACGTTTCAATCTCCCTATTTCAACCGTATTGTGAAAGTATGAAACCGTGGAACAGTGTATGTCAAGATGTCAATCCAAATACATTTTCTATAGCCCTATCACTCTTTCAAAAACTTAGATATTTAGAACTTATGATGTTGAACTATCCTGTACTTGGTCCTTGGTGCGTGACTATCCCTGTCACAGCGAATAGCAAAGATAAATGTGCGCTTTTTTAATAGTCTATCTTTAAGCGTTTGTGTGTGTAACCTGTCTCTGTGTGTTTTCCGTGTGTGAGCGTGCGTATGTGAACTACTTATTTTTGAGTCAGTTTTGGGAACTTTTTGAAAAGTCCCGTTCGTACTAGCTTTGCCTTTTTTGGATCTAACTTTAAAATGTCTGCGCTTTACTATAAGGGTTGATTTGAGCGAAGGCCCTTCGGCTTCGTCCCTGACTCGTCCCCAATCGTGTCTGTGAGCATGCGCGAATCGGAAAGCGCGCGCAGGGGTGGTTTCGTCCGGAAGTTATCATGCAACTTCCCTAACGGAGTTGAATCCCTCTGATAAATACATGGTAGAAAGTATTATAATCAAACGTCTATATATTAATTTTACACTGAGCCACTCAAAAGCCCATTGCGTTGAGATATTTTTTTATAAAACACTTACATATACAATAAAGGCTATATATGTATAAGAGTTTCAGTCAAAAAAACAAGCACACATGTGACGCAAATGATGTAGGCGCGAGGGCTTATCATTGAGAATTGACCGCAAAATCGCAGACTGTACTCGACTGCTCACTGGAGTGGCACCGATGATGCAAATGACCGCTCTCTTCTTTCAGTTGATTTACTACAGACGAATGGGTATCGGCATCAGAGATAAGGCTAGATACAAGGATTTTGGGCATCACATTCGATATAACGAATAATTGTAGAACTAGAAGAGATCATACTCGATGCCCAAAATCCTGCCATTAACCCGTACATGAATTTGTGGTTATAGAGCTCGACACTACTGTCTCTCTGTATAGCTCAGTTGGTTAGAGCGCTGCACCGGAATCGTAGGGCAGCTGCCGGTTCGATTCCAGCAGAGAGGGCCGATAGTTGTATTTTTCACAAGTACTTGCTGCTGGTTAGGTCTAGTAATTGTATAAAAATCCCTTTAACAGTTTCAGGGCCGAGCGAGTGTCCTAGCTAATGTTGAATGTAGGCTGTATTTGCAAATGGACAGGAGTATAGCAACTTCGGTTTGACTTTGACGCGAAGTAAATATGGTATAGACGCAAAATAATGGGTTTACTAATTCTGTTCATTATATATGGCAGTCTTTTGTTTGGTTGCAGAAATATAGAATCGGTATATACAAATTACCAATATAGTTTAATTTGCTCGCTAATTTGCTCGCTAATTCGGTATATACAAATGTTGAACATTTTGAACTGGTTACTGCGGATCGCCACTTTTGCAGCCACGAACGTTTAAATTAGGCCCGGCACCCCGCTATGATGTTAGTCGGCCGGTCTGCTTTATATCATTCAGATCCATACACGGAGTGTTAAATAACATGCACCTAAATCATAAATCGAACTAAACGAAAACTGGACTGAATTATGGCGTCCGCAGCATGAGTAATTTTCGTACGCCAGAATACGAATCGTATACACGCGAGAAATCGCAGGGTGTAAACGTATATACCCTTAAGCCATAAAAAATTTCACACATTAAAATTTTTTTGTAAAATTAAAGGTATTTCTTACCTGCAAGACCGTAGCAACTGTGGTTCCATCTTAAAGCTATGAGGGAAAATATTATTTTCAACGCTTGAAATTGATACTTTTCGATGTGTGCTACTCGTAACTTGCGGGAATCCGAAGTACGAATGAATTTGGTGTATGCATAGCAGTGGTTTTTCTGAGCTGGCTCGAACAATGCAAGCAGGACCAATTAGATACTTTGGTTGAATGCTGACGTCACTTGAAAGAACCAATCAAATTCCATGCATAGACATGATGGTTTTGTTCTGTCGAGAACGAGGCGGATTTAATTTAGCGAATCGTATCGGTGAAAATATAGCTCAACTTTTGTATGAAAAACATAATACTGAAATGGATTCTAGTAACCTTTGCTATGGACAAAACAGTTGATAGGGGTAATTCTAGCAAGGGGGAATTAACGTACGGTGTCTGATCCCCACAATTTTATATTTAGCAAATATACGTACCAGTTCCAATATTGTGCTTTGTTTTTGTTTTTGTTTTCGGCGGATATTCCTTATATAGCTAAGTATCCAGAAGTGCTATATTTATAAACAAGCTAGAAAATAAAGAAACAGAATTGAAACAAATTACAAATCAAGAAATCATGCGTGCGTGTAAACACGTCAGCTAACCAAATGTCTTTGTTTATATTTTGATTAAATTTGTGATATGGTATAAAAACTGCAGAATTTCACCTCGAATTTCACTGGAAAAAAATTTGACTCAGTCGCAAAATTTAAGTAGAATATTTTTGAGCTTCTGCTTCCGTAGCAAAGTCCGAGCTTGAGACGAGTTTAGAAGGAACAATATATAAACCTCAAAAGGCTATATTTCAGTTATTATTCTAGACATCGCACCCCCAATGGGCTTTGGCTTTGCATTCCGGATTGGCAACCATTTCACAAAAATAATGTGTCAATGACAATGCTCTGCCGAAAGTCGTGGGTTTTCTCCGGACGCTGCTATTTCCTTCCACGGGAAAATTTGACAATGTGGGTTAGGATAAACACAGTTAAGAAAGTAATCATCATGTCACAATTGTTGTAAAGATAAATCAAATCTATGCTAAGTAGACTATTTACAAGTAGATAATATAAAAAAGCGGAATACTTGATGTCATTGCATGGTCGCTGAAAACAGGGGTCAATCCATCCTAAGGCTAAGGTCTCCCATTTTCGAAAATGGGTCGGGTTCTAAATGCGCAGTTCTAAAACTTGAAATGGGCGGCAGTTCTAAAATTGTGTTTTCAAGCTTTGTATGCAAATTTTATAAATTAATGCCCGTATTCTAAAAGCTCACTCACACTCAATGAGTGGAGGTTCAATCTGAGCTTCTCTTGAGTGTCAATGCTGTTTTTGAATAGCTGGAGGGTGAGTGGTCATCGAGTACAAGGTATGATACTAGCCCAGCCCTCCAGCTATTCAAAAACAGCATTAACACTCAAGAGAAGCTCAGATTGAACCTCCACTCATTGGGTGTGAGCTTTTAGAATACGGGCGCATTAAGCGTCCATACAGATATTTAAGGTAAAAAAAAAAAACCGAACCAAATGTCACTCTGAAAATGCGAGAAGTGGTCATTCCAGACTTCCAAAATTTCCCGGGGAGCACGCCCCAGGACCAGCCTCCTGCTAAGCTATTCAGTGCCATGTCCCGCATGACCTCGTCTCTAGCTCATAGTCTGTTCTTGTCGAAATGGGCATGCAATTCTAATTTTTTCTTAAAGTGATGACCCCTATAGGCTATACTATAGGCTATACCAGATGATGTGGGAATATAATATTAATGCTTTTCATATATGTAGGGGTCGCCAATAATTTTTTAGCTTCAGTGACCCCACCATCTACAGAGCTCTTATGACACACTGACATGCAATAATGCCAATATAAACTGGTCTAAAAAGTCGTTTCAAATCCAGCTATAGAATACACACAAAAAATTGTAAACATATTGAAAACGTTTAAATATTATACCTGTATTAATACCTGTATTAAAAATAACTCGTGTTCCAATTATAAATTCTCGCCTACAAAAGATGTTTTGACTTTACGGTGTAATTCAAAGTTATTCACACAATCTCAAGATCTCAGTCGAACTAGCTTTGACGTATGTAACAACGTCATTGTAGGACGCGGCTGAAGCATTGACGCAAATGGCTAAGCATTTTGTTGTTTAAATAAAAACTCTGCATTTCTCATAAGAATGCTAAAAAATGTCGAAAATGACCCAGGAAAATTCTAACGAATTGAATATAAAGCTCTAATATAAATTCCTTGACCTTGTGGCTTTGTATGGCGATAAATTCCAATGCAATTAAAATTTCGCCTCCGCGTTTAAATTCATATATGTGTTGTCCAAACACTGTGTTTAATTTGTGCAAGGGCTGCCAGTAAAGAAACTTAATACTGTATTGCGTACAATGTGTTTGGCATAAAAATCATTAATCCATTATTAATAAGCCCCAGTCAAACGAGAGAGTTAAGCAATCACGAATTGTTATGATAGAGAGACATTTCAAGCTCTGAATCAACAAAAATAATAGCCTGAAAACAGACCTACGTTAGTGTTCCAACTAGGTTTTAACTTAAATAGAATACATGACGATGTTTGGGCTAGCATGAACATTAAGAACAGCTAACAAAGCTCGCGTGACTTGCCGCCACCTTCGTTGTGCACGAGACCGACATCGCAATACTACCTAAGGCGGTTTTCCATTAGGCGAAATTTTTCGACCGAATCGAAATTTCTAGTGTCTTACAAGCACTCGGATGGAACTAAACAGAAATATTTCGAATTGGAACACTAGAAATTTCGGTTCGATCGAAAAATTTCGCCTAGTGGAAAACCGCCTTTAAACTCTGCTTTATCACTTATTGACGTGTACAGAATACAGGTCTCGTGCAAACAATTTGCAATTTAAATTCTGCTCACACTTGCCGACTTGGTGCGAAATCGTACCGGAAAACGGAAGCACCGTTCAAAATAATCGCCAGGCTATTGAAATTCGTTCCTATCTCAGAACAAGACATACGACATTCCGTAAAAAGCCTGAACGTTCAAAAGTTTTTCAGAAAAAATCCGACCACAATGAAATTTGATCGGAAACCTTCAAATTTGGATGCGGGGGGATTCTGGCGTCCTTCATCCATAAGTCGCGTCACTTCCGCCAATAAATATACTTTTTCATATTTTTTCGCATCGACTGAGGCAAAATTATATATGCGACTGACGAACAATTGCTGGGACTTTCTCACCTTTTGTAAAAATGTTTTATTAAACTCTATAAAAGTACGAATATATGGATGTCATAATTAATAACCCTGAGAAGGTTTGCGTCACGCACTTTTCAATCCGTCAAAACACTAGGTTCTAAGGTCAATTTCTTAAGGTTACAGAACACCTTTGAGTGTTAATTTTGCCTAAAATGTTTGAACGAAAAATGTTGAAAACTCCCAGAGTTATTTAATAAAAAATACATTTCGCTGCAATGAAGAAAAACATTGAAAATGTAATGTTCAAATTCAATTTTCTCCCGAAAAAGTTTACGGTAATTACTGATTTTCAAACGAGTTGTGCTCCTGCGGGTTTTAACCAATTTTTCTCAAATTTTCACAGGACATAGCTCATAAAGACGTCAGTTTCATAATTGACGTCAGTTTCATAAATCTTTTAAACTGTTGTGTTTTATTCCCTTCTCTTTACTTAGATTAAAATTTAGTCTAACATGCAAGTTGTCCATTAACAACAAAACTTTTTAAGGACATAGTCCTGCATGCAATAACCCTGAGCACAAATTAACGGATTTGTTACAGCCATTAAATAAAGACAATAGCCACTTTTTGCGTAAAAATAGGAAATTTAACGTGCCACTTCATAAAACGAACAGATTTAGGAACAGTTTTATCACTTATAACTCTAATAAGTTTTACCATGAATATGCTGGTTTTTTAACCTAATTTAAATCATACAGCACTAGTGACAAATTATAAGTCTGCGCATATGTGTATTTTCAAGAATTTTTAGTCTAATCTTATTCATTTTCTTAACTAAATACTTGTAAAAATTAGTTTTATCTTTCTTAATATCTTTGTAAACCTAACATATTTCAGCAGTGGGATTAGATCAGTATATTCTGGAGCTGTAAGTTTAGTGTCAAATAAACTATCAAACTATGAAACTATCAAAAATACACTCAGAACATTCATAACTCATTTACACAATTACACCAGCCTCCCTAGAAATTATTTTCGTGAAAAAAGCACATGCGCTAACACATCCACGCACTCCAAAATGGATGGACATCTACTTAGGATATAGGAACTTACAAGGCATCAAAGTCTAGTCATTACCCAGGATATAATATACGTATTTAACTCTTAAGCATGCGACAAAGGATTTAGACTTGTTTAAGCGCGACGTTTCATTTTCACTTCCGACTTTGGCAAAATGTCCAACCATGACGTGCAAGACTGCCTTCCGCAAGACATTGTGCACGATTTCCGCGACAATTTATTTCATTTTCAGAAAAAGTTTAACATTTCTTTAAAGGCCCTGTCACACTATTGCGTATCGTGTACTAACGTATGCCGTGAAAAATATCACTCATACGCCGGTATACGCTGACATACGCTAGGGGTACGTTAGGCATAGGTTGTATACGTTTCAAGCACGGTCGCGTACGGTCGCATACGCTGGCATACGGCGAGGCGGAAATTTTTTTTTAAGCATGCTCAAAAATTTTGTGCGTATCGGACGTATGCTTTATACGATAAGCATACACTAGGCACACGCTGAATACGCTAGAGGTACGCCAGATGTACGGTACTCATACGCGCTGGCATTTCAAAGGATTTTTGTGCGTATGAAAATTATTTCATTCATTTTCATACGCTTCTCATACGTTTCTCTCATACGCAATAGTGTGACAGGGCCTTAAGATCGAAAAGTGTTTAGACTTTAGTACAATTTAGTACTATACTGTTCAGTTATGCTGAGGTGGCTCAATTTGAAACTAACAGGGTATAGCTAACGGCTTAATTTTCATATAAACTTATGGAAAAATCTTAAACTGTCTTCTTATTCAATTTTGCCCAAATAAACACACTGGTTTAAAACTTTCTGGTTATCTAAAATTAACAATGTTTGGGTAATTTAATGTTCTGGGGTCGGTTGTATAAAAAAGTGATTAAAGTTAACTATAGTTAGTGGAAACGTCATCCAATAAGAAGCGCGTATTTGATAGTTAATCACTGTTTAACTACAAAATAGTGATTAAAAATGTGATTAAGAGTTTTATACAACCGGCCCCAGGCATCAAGGCATAATTTAACATATATACTAGGGGGTGTCCATTTGCCCCCCCCCCCCACGCCCCACTAGTTAGTGGCTAAGACTGGGTCCTAACCTTACCCTCACTGACCCAATCTCGTACCCAGAGCAATGCCTGTACGCGGGCTAGGATGACATTGGCTCTGGGGAAATTGAATTTTTCCTGTGCTGTGATTGGTTTAACGTTTATCAATCGTGCATGCCGACAAAGAACCGGAACCCCTAAATTTAGGGGTTCCGGTTGTCAATTTCCCCAGAGCCAATGCTTTCCTAGCCGGCGCGGCATTGCTCTGGGTACGAGATTGTCACTGACCTAAATCTTACTCTTTTGTTGATAACTTGCAACAAGGTTGTTGAGTTCAACAGACTTGTTACAATTGTTCCAGCAACTTGTTATCGTCCTGCAATTCACAACAGTTTGTCACCAAGCTGTGAGTGACAACCTTATAGCAACTTGATAAAATAACAACATTGTCCGGCAAAACTTGTTGACAAGCTTGCTACAAGCCTGTTGCAAACACATCTTATTGTGCGGTGTCACGACTACGGCAGAGCTTTGGGAGTCAGATAAAATAACTCAGCGTCCACGTTATACGCATGCTACATTTGCCGAATATTTACAAGTATATTACAATTAAAAATAAATATATCAAACAGCAGTCTTATCCTGTTCGTTGTTTCGTTTCAACAACTGATTGATGCAATATTCATTCTCCTGTCCAACTTCAGTCAGTCGCAAGTCCATGATTTTTACAGTCTCATTTTCCTCCATGCCTTCCTGAAGTGACTTGCCACCATCCTAGCGCAACAACAGAAAGTGAATTGAAGCCCCGGTTAAACGCAGGGGTTTCAGAATGATTTGAAGTAGGCGGTTGTACCAAAAAAAGCAGCCGGCTGTGACTGATAGTTAAAAAATCGCGCGGGGAGGGGAGCGTGCCCTTTATTTTAAGAAAAATCTAGAACTGCACACATAGGGATGTTACGAAGGCAACGGTTGTTTGATAAATCGAAGGATTTTTTACCTACATAAAGGTGACAGAATAATGGTGTGGTTGGGAGGGAGAATTGGAGAAAGGCCAGACAAACTCGATTTGGGGTGCGGGAGCTAGGGGTGTTCCCCAAAACAATTTGAATCTAGAGGCTGTTAAGTTCTGGCAAAGATTTGTTTTACCCAACCACTCACAAAAACTGTTTCAAGACATGTAACTGGGAGTCATGGATGTTCAATATATAACAACCTTAAATTTGCATTTGAGGCAGCAAAGAATATTAGGTTCTCCCACTCTAATCTCTTTTGGGGAGCTTCTCGCCTTTTACCATCTTTTCCATTACCCCCAGCACGTAAGTGATTTGTGAGGAAAATAGGAGGGTCTGGAGTCCTCTCCCAGAAATCGTTTAGATTTTGATGCTCAATTAATGACAGCATTTCTGGAATTTTCTGGAGCATCCACAAGGGTAACGAGCAAATGAGAAGACTGTTTTAATTAAGGCTATTTTTTTCAGTTTGGTGACTGCACATTTGTGTTTTAAGAACTGCACAAATGGGTTTAGAACTGCACATTTTGTGTAGAACTGCACGTTAAAATAAACCCTGGACTCATTTGCATTTATACTTGTAAGTGAAGTCATTTGCATTTATACTTGTAAGTGACAATGTCAATACTTTAATTTAATGTGCTACTAGTAGTTTAATTTTTACAGCTGCATGAACAGAATGACAATGTACACTACAGTAATAGTATTAATTTATGAGTCTGAAATCATTAATCAAATGATGTTATACTTATGTGCGTAATGAACTTCACTTTATCACTTCTTCTTTCTTTTGCTATGTTTGGTACTATGTATTATAATTTATCTTATTGATCTTCCAAAATAAGTGATGTTTTGCTTGAATTCAAGGCTTGAATTTTATCGCGGCAATTGCCGTAGAGGGAGAACAAAATGCCGTGGATCATTGCGGCAACGACTGCATTTTTTTGCCGTATAGTATAATTTTTAAACTGTTCACTGTGCATTAATATTTTGATACTTGAATTCAGATGTTGATCAAATCATCCGTAAATTACTATTTTATAGTCTCAGTTTTCTTCGAAAAAAAACACTAAAGAAATACGTAAACATGTTTCTAGCTTGTCAGCAATCCAAAGTAACACTAATAAAATTAAATTTTTATTACAGTAATTTGAAAAAATGCCGTGGAATTGTGGAAACTGAGAAAATTGACGTAGGCAGCTGTTACGTTCTACGGCAATTTTTAATGCCATTGCCGTCGATTGATTTCAGGGAAATTCGAGGCCTACTTGAATTCCAATTGGAACATAACAAACATCGTGTTGGTTCGTTTGTACCTTTGTACATAAAATTTTTCCTGTGACCAAGTCTACGAAAAGTAGCCGGCGGTAAAAGTTCAAGTAGCCGGCGGAACTCCGCCGGCCGCCGGCTTATTCTGAAACCCCTGTAAACGAGAATGAAAGTTGACTAGACTTGGCAAGCGAGAGTTTGTATGAGTTTTCTTAACTCTTATGTTCCGGTCGAACTAGAACAAGAGTTGCATCAATGGATAATTCGAGCTATAGACTAAAATTTGATCTAGGCACGAAGAACTAAATCCATCACCACAGCTAGAAAGAGCATGTTAAAATTAAAATGGCAAAGTTTGGTTGCAAAATGTTGTAAAATGAGGAAAATATAGCCCTGTGAATTTGTATTACGCGCGGGAAAATGCACCACATTTGGGCCGAAAGTGGTGCATTTTCCCGTGCGTAATACAAATTAATACAAAATTTTACAACAGTTCGCAACGAAACTTTGCAATTTTACTAATTTTAACATGCTCTTTCTAGCTGTTGACCTGTTGTGATGGATTTGGTTCTTCTTGCCTAGATCAAAATTTAGTCTAAAGCAGGAATCATCAATTGAGAGTTCATGAAAGTTGACTGGACTCTCATCAACTATATAGCTCTCACCAACTACGGTAGCTCTATCAGATCTAACGAACTTACCTCTCCCATTTTGTTGCAGGAAATAATTAATGAACGAAGAGTTTTGTTAGAAACTAAAACCTGGAAAAAGTAATAATGTTCAATTCATTACTATGAACACTAGCTATTACCATCATTATCCCCATCATCATCTTCACCATCACACTATGAACACTATTACCATCATTATCCCCATCATCATCTTCACCATCACCATCACTAGCAACACCATGGCTACCATTACCACTATCACCACCATCATTACCACCAATATCACTAACACCATCATCACCATATCATCATCTGGTGTCATCATAATCATCAACATCATCACTATCATCACCATCATCTGGTATCATCGTAATCATCGTCCCCACTATCATCACTTAGTATCATCCGGTATCATCATAATCACCATCACCACTATCATCATCATTATTATCACCACCACAATTATCACCATCATCATAATCATCATCATCATAATCATCATAATCATCATCACCACCATCATCATCATTATTATCACCACCACAATTATCACCATCATAATCATCATATCCACGATCATCTCATCATCACCATTATCACCACCATCATCATCACTACCATCGCCACCACTAACTAACTTGTTATGCATTCAATGCTGCCGCTGTTGGCCAGCCCAGATAATTACTTCCTAAATTTAACTGCACTAAGTCGTATTCTTAACCAAGCCTATGCATATCATTTAACCATCGTCATCACCACCACCATATACCATCACCGCTACAACTCACCTGTGCTAATGCTGCTGCTGTTGGTTCCCCTAAATCATTACTTCCCAAATTCAATTCCACTAAAGTCGTATTTTTAGCCAAAGCTTTACACATGGCTTGACCACCATCATCACCTAATCTGTTCAACCGCATATTCATTGTTCGTAGCGTCGTGTTCTTGCCAAGCGCGTGCGCTATGGCCCTGCCGCCATGAGACTTTATCTTGTTGTCTAGGAGGTTGATATGCGCAAGCTGACATCGACCATTCATCAGTTTACCAATGGCACGTGCTCCACTGTCGCCAATCTTGTTGTGAGAAAAATCTAAAAGAACACAGGGAAAATTGTACGAAACTACTCATCCGCTGGAAAAAGCCAAAATATATAGAACCAAGTTCTAGTAAGATTTGAGGCTATGTTACACGAAACAATTTTGCTGCAACTTGCTAACGCTTTTTTGACATAGAGCCATGTTATCTTGTGAACAATTAGCCTTTTCCCAAAATAGATCACAGTGCATTCTGGGATCGTTTGGAGCGACAAAATATATGGTGACAGACGTCAGATATGTGAAAGAGTAAAAGTATCTACTATCAAATATCAACTTTTTAGACGACCAAAAATGAAATATCTCCTTTTCACATTAAACTTTTAATTAAAATGTGTGCTACCATATTTCTTGTCCCAGCCCAACATGGGATTTGCGCGACTAGACCCAGGACTTTGGGAAATGGCTAATTGTGAGCATGGCACGTATTTTACTCGATGCAGAATTTGGCCGTCCAAAATAATTTTTTGGGCGTGGCCACAATTTTTTGTGGGTGTGGTCACATGTTTTGGGGTGTGGCCGCAATTTTATGTTGTTGTGGAATTGTGGTGTTCTATTCGTTGAACCTTCTTACTTTTAGTTTTAGATGCACATTTCCGTCATTAAATTAGTAAACGCACACGTATGGTATGAACCGTAGTGTAGTGTTTAGTTATTTTTTCTGAATCCCGGATATTTTTCCCTTTTTTTTATGCGTTTGGCTCATCTTATAGCCATCTTTACCCGGTAACTGTAACTCTAAAGCACGTGGCGCACGAGTGATAAGCGATTGCTGTTTTTTTTATTATTCTCCATGATACTCATGCGAGAATCATCAACATCACAGAATAACTATACGATTTTTATTCTGTGATCAACATGATTACAAAAACATGGCACGTTTGTCGATACTTCAATTCAACTATACTCAACGTGTTTTCGACGGGAAAAAGTATGAGAACATATACCATACGTAAAGTAAACAGCAAATGACAACAATTCGAAGTATTCATGAAATATTACAAAACTTGTAAATTGCTATTTAAAGAAAATATTCCCTTAGGCCGTCCACGCAATGGCCGCCCATTAAATTTAGCCGTTCGAGTTTAGAAGTGGCCGTCCGTAGGACGGTCGGACGGCCGGCTGGCTAACACCCTGGACTTCAAGATCACGACATACCTAGTGTTGTTAATGAAGGATGATCCAATAAATGACTGATTAGAACTCTCGCTTTGTCATCGTCCACTCGACTCCGGTGAAGATGAAATACTTTTAAGGTATGGCATGCCTTGACAGCCTGCAAAACGAAATGTACAATCTTGTACAACCAACTGAGCTATATATTAAATGAATATACCATTTTACGCGGAGTTTCGAGTTACCTTCGATAGAAGTTGACAATCTCTTGACGTGAATTGGAACATATTCCATTCAAAATTCATACCACATGTAGAAACTCTGTGAAATGGGACAAGAAGAAAATGAAAAAAGTGCGTAAGTATGAAAATTATCGCATCCTGTTAATATAGACTTACCCATAGGTAATATGAAGTTCTTGAAGGCAACTGGTTCTGGAAACCAATTCTCCGAAATCAAAATGATCCAGAAGAGGTCCCTCTTGTCCTGCGTCGCTACCGCTAAAATATCAGAAAACTGTTGTTGTTGTTGCTGTTGCTGTTGATATTCTGACTTATACGCAAAATAGGATTGACTAGCTCAGAGGTTTTCTATTTAGGAAAAAACTAGGAAAAAACTAGGAAAACTACTAGGTCAGTATTGCTATTACAATGTCTCTAAACTATAAGGGTACAACTGATATATTCACTAGAAAATCCAACACTGCAAAGGTATCTTTTTCTCCTCAATTATTTTAAGACCTTGAGTAAAGGTAAGTCCGACCAAGGATTCAACCCGCGGGTCTCCCAGCTTGAAAGGCTTAATGTTGGTTAAATACAAACTGTGATGACGCTCTACCAATGAATTGAGCTAATAAGTCAACTGGGGAAAGCACACGACAGTCCAAAAATCCATATTTAAACGAGTAACTTACGTGTCTGACGAGTCGTCTTCTTTCAAATTAATTTCTTTGACAGGAGGAAGAAGTTGATTGATATTTAATGAACGAATGAATCTTTCACCTAACGCCAACGTGTCATTCAGCTATCAGTTGAAAAAAGCGAGAAACTAATTTCACCCCAATGTTTTTTTGTGGTTTGCTTACCTACCTATACCTAGTACATGCCCTATTTTTTTTCGTTGCTTGTGATGCAACATGACGCATCCATTGCTCACAGTTATTGCTTATTAAAATGCGGTTTATTACTGATCATATTCTGATATTCATGTTAACCAACGTGAAGCAAAAAATTTCAAAAATTAAAAAAAATTTCAAAAAAATCTCCCAACCTACTTCCCCCTATTTTTCAGCATACGAAACCGGAAGCACAAAATAAGTTTTTGTTAAACAATATTAGTCAATGAAAAAAGATGATTTAGGCAAGCTGGCTTAAAATGTTGAATGATGATCAGCCAATTTAAGAGTGAAATTTTCTGGCATTAGACAGAGTAAGATACTACTATACTTGCAACACAACTGAATGGGTTAACTAGACACATGGAAGATATATCTGATTAACTCACTGTTAAATAACCAGAACATTTACCTCTGTGAACTCTGTGGTCTCAGGTATATAACTTTCAATAATCCCTGTAATGTGCATGCAGAATATTAAGTTCAACCATTGAAATAAGTAAATATATCAACTTGCATCTAAGCTACTGTATATAACATTTGATGAACAGTAATACTGAAGTTCTCCTTGTATTTTTCAGGTAATTGTATCCCTATCAACCCAAAGCTTTTGTATACTTAAATTGTACAATAGTTGGAACCCATAGCTAATGTATTTGAAAAGGTCCAACCATGAAATCAATATGTAAAAATGTCGGATTGGGTAATTTGAGAAAGGATATGATCGGCCACAATAGATTCCCCCACAGAGGAAATTACATTCTGCTGTTCAGAGGGAGAGGAAAGAAAGTATTTCTGATAATAGTAAGTGTATAATTAAGACATCTGAAGGCCAAGGGGGTAGGGGGGCTATCTTCCAATTTCTTCTTTGCCAGACTACAGGGGAGGTATGAATTCTGGAATGGCCATGGGCGGATTTACTGGGGGGGGGGGGTTAAACCCCACCTAGATTCTCTCTAACCTCTCTAATAAAGTGTTCAACCCCACCAAAATTTTGCTTCATCCCTTCTATTTTGTGTGAAAGGCTTTAACCCAAATGCCTAACCCCTGTCAAAGCTCACTGAGTAGTCTCTTTTTAAATACACGAAAACCTGCCCTTGGGAATGATCATTTCCATACAACTGCTCAAAGTTCATCACACCTAACTAACCTTCAACAGTCTTTTCAAAAAACATTCGTTTCCAGTTATTGCCATGTTTTGAGATATCACATATATTCCATTTTGCCTTGCAACATTTCTGCCAGTAACCTTCATCCTCGACCAGAGGAGCTGTGACCCTAACAAAGAATCCCAGACTCAAGCAACTGTCACTGATACAAAACATGGGTGCACTCCTAACAACACCAAGCTGAAGTTCCCTCGTCCCCAAAGGACCAAAACCGAGATGAAATTTCAGGAACTGCATGGCTCTAATACAAAATGTTTACACTTACTTCAGTGGGATAGTTGTAGAAAGAAGTTCTAAGACTTTCGTCTTATGTTTCGGTAAAAGTTCATTCAGAGTTGGATTCTCTAAACAAGTAAATGTAGTTAAAGACATTAATATCTATAATAGAATTTTGTTTATTCTTAAATGACAACATAATTATAATACGGTAATAAAGAAGTGGAATCTTAAGTTTTTTGTAGGTTTGCATGGCAATAAAACATATAATACTTTTGTTTGTGGAAACACTAAGTAAATTTATTACTGCAAAGCTTTCGATCTGTAAGCCCGAATCTTCATCAGTGCTAATAATATGTGACTAAATGGAATCTTGTTATATCAATATTTCATACCATCAAAACAAGTTATGATATTTTTAATGCACAAGTCAGTTAGCAATGGTACTGTGGCTAGACTCCTATAAAGACAAAAACATCAGTGTTTGATGAGTAAGGTATACCAAGGAGATAGGGGGCCTATCCCCAACTGGGTTAGGGTAGATTTGGGCAAAGGATTTTCTGGGACGAGGGCCAGGGAGGGGGAATATTGTTCCATCAGACCATCACCACAAGTGCTGACAATACGGTAATTTTGGTGGGTGGTAACACAATGTCAATAAAATTTTTGATAGGAGGGGGTGGAGATTGCAAGGGGGAAGGGTGCAAACCATGTACCCTATAGCTGTTAAGCTGTATCCCACAATAGATCTGGAGATCTGGTTATGACATATAAATAACATATTTACAATGCATTTCAACTAAATTAAAATAATAGATTACCAGTCTGGATCCTCAGCGATAATTCTCCTCATCTGCCGAGGATCAGATGCAGGATTCACCTTTTGGTCAACAATCTACAGAAAATTGGAAAGTTTGGTCCCCATAAATATCCCATTTTATCCCTAAGTTTAACAGCAAAATTTTGGAAAAATAAAGTGTTTAACTTACTGGAGGAGCGACAGTGCTCACGGGTCCTTCAGTCGTCATTTCTAAGTAAAATTCGCTTCAAAAATACATAAAAACTTTAAAATTCACACAATTTTCAAAAGAACACAAAAATCCACCATTTTATCATGACAACGTTGCCATGGTAACGCGATCGCGGTGAACTTCCGGAAATTTTGAAAAGTGGAAGCACAGAACACGTCATCAAATTCAAGATGGAGGCCGGACTGCTTGTAAGTAATCTTTTGAATGTTGTTTTGTTTTTCTGGTTTTCATGAAAGAGTGAATGGTGATGCTTGATTTTGTAGTTGGGTTTGATAGATTTCATGTGTGAGTGTGTGATGTTGAAAGGAGACAGGAATATGTGTGATTTGAGAGCTAGATTTTAACCATGAAAGATGTGTTTTAGAATATCATAGAACATTCGGTGCCATTCACAGATTCAATCATGACAAGAATGAATATATTATTAAGGCCTATTTACACTACGTTTTATTTTTGCTATTTTGGTTTATTTTTGCACAAATAAAAATGGCATGTGTATCAAAATGATGCCTTGTTCTATGATTTTAAAACTATATGACTAACTCACAGGCATTCGTTGCAGGGGATGGGTTAGGGTGAATGTTAGGGTTTTATTAAGAGAATACGACACCGGCTGCCAAGTTTATTGATATCAGCCCCAACGAACGCCCTTTGGGTAGTCAAACCTGAACACATAGTGTAAATCGGACTGTAAAAGCTAAGTAATAATCCATTGATCTTTTGTACTTTTACTTCTTTCAAGTAACTGTAGCGGTAACTAGTTACATTTGAAAAGGGGTAAACTACCTAATTTTGGCTTAAAATGGAAGGATAACACAAGTTACAAAAATTGAAAAATAACTTTCTTAATTAACTAGTTATAAATATTGTGAATGGTAACTAGTTAAGTCTTTTATGTGTAACTTTAACTGGTAAAATAGATCCAAAAAAGAAGTTATATAAATTAGTTACAGCATTGTATTTAGAAGCACATGTCACTATCCTTAGCATGGGCTGGATGGATTTACTGGGGGGTTAGGGGGGGGGTTAACCCCCCTAGAATCTCCCTCTTATAAAGTGTTCAACCCCACCAAAATTTTGCTTCACCCCTCCTATTTTGTATGAAAGTCTTTAACCCTAAGGCCAAAAAAAAATATGTGGGTTCCTATTTCTTCTCGTAAAAACTTCGGTAGGGTAGGTTGGTTTTAACTTTTTTTTTAACTTTTTTTTTAATTTTCCTAACAACCGGATGCCATTTTGTTTACTCAGTGCTTCCACAATATTGCCTCAAATTTCCGTTTTTCACAAACGTTTTCCTCTAAGTGGAAACACTTACAAGCATGATCCAATAAAAAAGTTTAGGGTCAGGATTTCGGCGTCCAAAAGCTTAGGTAGGGTCGAGAAACCGGAAACCCACATATTTTTTTTGGCCTAATGCCTAACCCCTGCTGAAGCTCGCTCAGTGGTGCTGCTTGCACCCAACTAGAATTTTTCCACCTCTCCTTTAAAAAAATGAAAATCCGCCCTTGATCCTGAGAATTGACCCTTTAGATATCTAGGGTCTAAAGTGCTTGGAATGTGATGAAGATATACATGTTACTGATGTACTAATCTATCTGGCATATTATAAACAGGAGCCATCTATGTACACAGTAAAAGGAGTCTTAATTCTTGATAACGACGGTGAACGAATATTGTCGAAAGTAAGATTTTCGTTTGATTTTGAGATTGATTTTTGTGGGATGTAAAAAAGTATTTGACTTACATAGTGCTGTATTTTTCAGTATTATGATGACACATATCCAACTGTTAAAGAACAGAAGGAATTTGAAAAGAATCTGTTTAACAAAACCAGCAGAGTTAATGGTAAATATCTGTGACGTTTATTATTTAACCAATTAAGCTGCATTGCATCCTTTATTGCATCCAGGCATTAATTTTAGGGATGAGCCGATTAATCGGTAAATAATCTGCAAAGCCGATTAATCGGCCGTTTATTAAATAATCGGTAATCGGACGATTATTGTCTGATAATCGGCACATAATCGGCCATAAGACTTTTTCTGCAACTGCTGAGCACATGCTAGAATACTGAATACAAGCGAATAGATTTTCACATTTTGTTGCAAAACCTCTGTCTTTTGTCTCAAGCGAAGTGAAGCTGGGAACATATCCACTGAAAAACGCAGCAGAATAGCTCCGCATAGCTGACAATATCCTGTTTTCACACCATAATCTGCCAAAACTTAGTGTGTACTGTAAACAATAAAACCGCATTTACAACTTCATTGTTGGTCAATTTGTGATTTTTCGCTTGCTTTTTAAAATAATCGGCGGGTACCGATTAATCGGCCGATTAGTTACGATAATCGGCTTATAAATAATCGGCCTCAGTAATCGGCAATTTTCCTTATCGGCTCATCCCTAATTAATTTGGCATTAATTTCTTTTGAATACAAAATGTCGTACAAAATACATTTTTCTGCTTCAGCCGAAATTGTGATGTTTGAAGGCCTCACCTGTGTCTATAGAAGTAACATCGATCTGTACTTCTATGTGATTGGCTCCTCAAGTGAAAACGAGGTAATTGGGCAAATTTGATAACATTGCTAACATGTGCTACTGCTGATAATTTGATTGCTTGGTTACCTTTTGACTTGCTACAAGTCGACCCGTATAACTTAATAAGCTATGTATTGTATTAATTTGTATAGCTTATCATAAAATGTCTAAATTTTTTATCATGATTCAAAGCCAATTTACTGTGTCTTGGTATATGTTTTCAGCTTATTCTAGTTAGTGTCTTGAATGCATTTTACGACACAGTCAGTCAAATTTTGCGAAAGAGTGTTGAGAAAAAAATGTTGATGGATAATTTGGATGTTATGATGTTGGCTATGGATGAATTAGTTGATGGAGGGTAAGATAGGATACAAGTCCATTGTTTTTGTTTTGGCCGTAACTCAGGGTTTAGAATAATGGCTGAACTTGAAAATCCTTGAAAGTCCTTGAATTTGGAAACAAAAATTCAAGACCTTGAAAGTCCTTGAGTTTATAAAGAAGTGCTTGAAAGTCCTTAAATTGTTCTTGCTTTAGTGGATATTTTCTCAAATTGTTTGGCATTAAGAATTGGACATTTTGTAAATTGATTTTGTTCATGTCTTACAAAGGTCAAAGTTATTTGAACTTCATTAAAGTTGCCATTTGGACAGTTTAATGTCACTTTTTACTGATTTCTAACGCCTTCTTTTCAGCCTTTAGTCCTTGAATTTCCTGACACATGGCCTTGAAAGTTTATTTATTTAACTTCGCCATTATCATGCATTCATGGCAGGGTCACCACAACAGTATGGTACCAATTACTGTGGGCCCTTTGATTTTAAATAGATAATAAAACACAAATAAAACCCAACGAAGACTTCGATTTACCTGTTCAAAGTCATCACACGAATTGAAACTTGAAGCTAAGCAAACAAAGTCCTTGATTGTAACTCTGCCTGACCTGTAGGCTGCACAAACCTGTATCCTGTGAAACAAAGTTACTGCTTTTACATGCAGGACCAAATTTGGCTAGTCAAATACAATGCCATCAACAAACCATTGTAAATAGTCACTTTTATCTATTCATCTATTATCATTACCTCTATTCAACGGTCACCTCTATTAAGTGAAAGCGGACACTTAACTTAAGGAGCCAAATAACCGGACAAACATGCATGACTGATGTTATACAGTAAAACCCGAAAAATGCTATACAGTAAAACCCCGCATAAAAGAACCATTGCGTTAAGAACCACCAGCCTGAAATTTGGACAATTAAGCACCCAAAATACAAGAACCACTTCAGGCTGACAAATGAAACTGGTTCTTAAAAAACCTTATTAAACTTGAAAAATATGCCCGGCCACGGTGGGAATCGAACCTACGACCTTTGGAATACTAGCCCACCGTGGCCGGGCATATTTTTCAAGCTCGCCCGGTGTGGATATACACTCAGAGTAACATCACACAGCATCTTATTCACCTGAGTACACAACACCAACACAGAAAAAATCTTATTAAACTTTTAGCTGAATTAGTAAGCAGGTACTAGGAGGAAAACAAAATACTGTAATCTTGCTAGCAGGAATTATATCTTTCAGCCACATCATGCATGCATTTATTTTATCAAAATAATTAAATTACTGTTCATTTACTAGTTTCATTATATACAATAAGAGGTTTAAAACTCTAAACCAGGAACAATTGTTTTTGACTGGAAATAAGAACCAGTTAAGAACCACTTCAGCCTGAAGTCAAAATTCACTGGTTCTTTTATGCGGGGTTTTACTGTATTTAATGTCGGTGACAATGCTTTCTCTTTTTCAGTGTAATTCTTGATGCCGAGGCTGCTTCAATCATACATAAGGTTGCAGCAAAGGTAATTTATTAATATTGAGTTTGCAACAAACGAATTCCATTTCATTTCCACACAATGTTTTACTATAAAAGCGAGTTTGTTTACTTCCTTTCAGAATGACGACGTCCCATTGTCTGAAAGAAGCGTGGCTAATGTAAGTATCATACGTGATATTCACATGTATACGATTAAACTCCGTACACACAGAGAAATCTTGTAGCAAGTCTGCCAACAACCTGTCAATAAGCTGTGTTCGCACTGCTTGTCCCAAGTTGTCAACAAGTTTGGAACAAACTGTTAACAACTTGTAACAATCTTGTTGATATTATCAGACTTGTTGCAAGGTTGTTTCAACAAGTTGTGATGACAATCTTGTGGCAATTTGATGAAACAACAGCATTGTTATAACTTATCTAATCTTGTTGACAAGTTGTGAAACTTTATACGTAAGTTTTTACAGGTGTGGAAACAAGTTGTTACAAGCTTGTTCACAAGCTGTCAACAATTTGTGTTCGCACTGCTTGTTCCCAGTTGTTGTAACAAGTTTGGAACAAGCTGTTAACAACTTGTAACAAGCTTGATGATACTATATATCAAACTTGTTACAAGGTTGTTCTAACAAGTTTGATACAGTCATGATATATAAACAAGAGTGTCACAAGGTTGGCGACGCAAGATTGTAACAATATTGTTATATCATGACTGTATCGGACTTGTTGGAACAACTTTGCAACAAATCTGATAATATCAACAAGGTTGTTACAAGTTGTTTACAGCTTCTTCAAAACTTGTTGACAAGCAGTGCGAACACAAAGTGTTGACGGCTTGTTGGCAGACTTGCTACAAGATGTGTATAATTTCTGCATGCACATAACTAAGTAGTTGCCCTCCAGTTTTCTTCATGTTTTTATAAATATGGTGTAATTTGTGACTTCGAGTTTCCTTTTTCTTTCCATATTGTGTAGGTATTACAGTCTGCCAAAGACCAGCTTAAGTGGTCACTGCTGAAGTGAAACCATTCAAGGAAAAATTATGATCCTTGCGAGTGACAGTGTCAGTCCAAAGTGGGGAGCAATAGAACTTTTTAAAAATTTAATAGCGTGAATATATACTCTGTAAATGTGTGCCTGTTCTATATATTTGTTAATGATTAGATAAATAAACTATGTGTATAGTGCGTTCCTGTAATTGTACAATTTCATTTTCCATCTAGCAAAATAAATTATTTATGGGCGATTTTGTTTTACTGATCGAAATTTTGCTCTGATTGTATATACACACCGGGCAAGCTTGAAAAATATGCCTGGCCACGGTGGGAATCGAACCTACGACCTTTGGAACACCAGCCCAATGCTCTGCCAACTGGTCAGGTCAGGTTGGTTCGAGTATGTGATATTTCGGAACTGAGTCCAGTTCCTTCGATATCAATGCAATCTAGTAATCATGATTTTTTCTGTGTTGGTGTAATGTACTCAGTTCCTTCGATATCAATGCAATCTAGTAATCATGATTTTTTCTGTGTTGGTGTAATGTACTCAGGTGAATATGATGCTTGTGATGTTACTCTGAGTGTATATCACAAGCATCGTATTCACCTGAGTACATTAGTCATTACATTAACACAGAAAAAATCACGATCGAAATTTTGTTTGGCAACTCTGATCACTCGATTCAAATAACATTCAATAGTAGTTGAAGGGTCTTGTAGATGGAAATTATCGAGTGGAAATTATCCACACTGAAGCAAGCGACATTTTTGTCTACACTAAAAATTGTGTTTGTGTTTATAGTTTGTGGTAATCTTCAACACATGACAAAACCTAGGGTTTTTATTAAAGTATTTTTCTTTCAAAATCAGTTATATCAATTTTTGCGTGACTTCCGTGTTGACAAAAAGACTAAAAGAAGAGCGTGCGACGCTTCTCTGAATGGCTTCACACCGGGCAAGCTGAAAAATTGCTACCAGAATGTGTTGCGATTTAAGATGGCGTCGTTTAGAGCGAAAAGATCCATATAACGGAAAGGAGAATATTTAGACTTTTCCACTTGGGCGAGCTGTGGCGAGGATTCGAACGTCGCGCGTGGGTTTAAAGTGGTATCACGTGTCCCACGCGCGGAATTCATCTTCACTGTTCAAACATCATCAGCTTGTTGTTGTAATGTTGTCTAGTTTTTCGACGAAATATCCTTTTCTTTTTACCCTAACTTCTTTCTGAGGAGTGGAATAGCTTTGAGGATAATATGGGAGAGGAAAAACCTGCCGCAAACGATGAGCGGTCGCCGGAAAATGAAGGTATTTGTGAACAAATCTTTTAAATATGTGCGAATGAAATATAAAGCAAAATTCTGTTCCCAAGAGGCTTTATCAAAGAATGCTGTTCTTTGAAAGAGAAATACTTTGGGATTCTAGTATTGTTAAGCTAAACAAAGCCTTGGGTTCTTAAGTATTCAAAATATGAGACGATATACAAACTTGGTCATGTATTTGACATGCAATGATAGCAATCGCCGGTCGAGACAATCCAATTTAACTTTGCTTAAAAGTCAACAGTTCAAGCCCCAATTGTGTGTTGAAAAAATAGTGTATCTTTAATTGGAAAATTAATATTACATTGTAACATGTTTCTGGTGCGGTTTTAGGCGAAATACGTGGCCTATTACCGAGCTTTTAAAGGATTATTTAAGTCCAATATTAAGTGAACGGTCGGCCCCTTTTCGCAGTTTACTTTAATATACAAAACAAATTTTACAAACTTACATCTGCTTACTCGATTGCATATCCCAGCGGGAAACGGAACACTATATTATTATATTTTTGTTTGAAAAATCTGGGATAAGCTTCTGCAGTTTTAATAGTTTATAGCGGATAGTTGCGAATGGACATTTGGAAAATTAGGGGACTGGTTTAATTTGGGTATACAATAATTCAGGAAACCATAATTCAAACAAATGAAATGCTTCCTGACATATTTATGTTTAATTTGTCCAGTTGGTGTCAAATGAAATGATAATTATGAGTCGTAGATTTATACTACCAAATGTACAAAACTTGGTTTAGCTTTGGTGTATATGCATATTTCTTCTACAATGTATATTGACCACTAAATGGCAAATACATATATCATTTTCAAGTGGAACTCTTCATTTAAAGTGGATTCAGTTGAATAAATCAATAGCTATCATATTTGGCTGCAATTATTATATGGTGCAGTAACAGTAACTTTTGGTAGCAGAGAAGTGATAATTCATGCAATTAAGTCTGATTGTTGATGGAATTCATCGGTGGTAATTTCAAGCAAAAATTTACAGCATATACAATTTTCAGACCTGACCTGGGGCAACTGTGAAAAATGCTTTAAATTTTTGTTCAGAATTACTGTCTAGAAATACGATCCCCCATTCTTCAGCAACCAAAACATGTTCTGGGGCAACTGTGAAAAATGCTTTAAATTTTTGTTCAGAATCCTCAGAATTTTCAGAATTACTGTCTAGAAATACGATCCCCCATTCTTCAGCAACCAAAACATGTTTCTGTCTAGAAATATGATGCCCCATTCTTCAGCAACCAAAACATGGTAGATTAAAGGCAGGGTCAAGTCTGTTCTGCGCATGTGCTATATGAGGTAGATTAAAGGCAGGGTCAAGTCTGTTCTGCGCATGTGCTATATGAGGGCCCTCTAATACAGTATGTAAAACAATATCCAAATTTTGCCTTGTTTCGTCATCTTCGAAAATTGAAACTCTAATCTACATTCACAGAGTGTTAGCCAGAGATTAGAAAATTTGGCAATTTAATGAAATTGGGAATTTCAGTTAGCCTGCGACATTCAGACCGGAGTTAAGGAATTTTGTGTTTCTTAACTGATGGTCTCATGGTCTAGCACCAGCTGAGCTAAATTGAAACATTAATTTGTAGTGCAAGTCCAGTGCTTAAAAAATAGGCGTATGGGCGTACGATTATACACCGAAATTAGCTTTGAGCATACCAAGAATTTCAGACACGTATGATTGTGTACACTTCCTACATCAAAGCTGAACCGTTACCCCGTTCTGTTTGCCTTAAAAACCTTCGGACAATGAACAAACATTTACCTCTAACCCTGGTCATGAAATATCCATATATTTAAGACAATCAAGTATGAAACATTGGTCAAGAAACATTGACTGAGCTCACTGCCTTAATCCCGGACCGCCATCTTTGTTTACGTCATTTAAATCCAGCATTTCAAATGCATTTTTATACGAGAATTTTATATGAAAACTATAGTACAGTAGTATACAAAATTGTACATCAACATTGAATAAATGTACATCAACTTAGTACAAAATGTATGACCTCATGTGGGCCATATGGCATTTCTGATTTATTTTTTAATCCCTGAAGTCACATGACATTCTTTTGCATACTAAAAACAGACAAATATATATTTTACATGACATCCTCGCAACACTTATCTGGTACACACTTTTTCTTGAGCAACTAGTACATCATATTTTATCAGTGTAGTGTGCTCAAAATGTAACAAACAGCAAATCCGCCCAATGGACTTGACCACATCTTTAATTAACGTTGATTTTCAGCAATCAAGGAAGTAGTGAATTCCTTGGATGATCCAACAACTGCTGGCTTGATTTTGGAAGAACAAGCAAAGTCTTTGAAAAATATCTTAGCTGATCCTGCCATTCAACATCTTATCAAGGTTTTATTATCACTTTATTGTAAATAAATGATAACCTAGAACATGATAGAACATTTATATCTATTAAGCTCTGCATTGAAATCCCCCTACACCCTACTTTATTATTTCTCTCTGTCTAATGCCAGAGAATCCTTGAAAATCTTTGAATTTGGAAGCAAAAATTCAAGACCTTGAAAGTCCTTAATTTACTGTAAGTTTATAAAGAAATGCTTGAAAGTCCTTAATTAAATTGTTCTTGCTTTAGTGGATATTTTCTGAAATTGTTTGGCATTAAGAATTGGACATTTTGTAAATTGATTTTGTTCATGTCTTACAAAGGCCAAAGTTGTTTGAAATTCATTAAAGTTGCCATTTGAACAGTTCTTAAAACATCACTTTTTTACTGATTTCAGCCCTTTAGTTGGGGTCTGAAATTTAATCAGTATCCAACTGGGATACCAGGATTCAAAGTTTAGTACACCCCCCCCCCCCTGAGAATCCAGTATCCCACTTCTGGACCCTGCTTACCATAAGTATTATACCCCATCCCATCCAAATAAGTCAGCTGTCAAGAGACTGTCAGAGGTGCTTAACATTTTTTGTTAATGTTTGAAATTTTTTTAGTATCCAGTTGGGATATAAGTCATTCACGGTTTGGTATCCAAAACCAAATTTTAGTATCCTGTGGATATCGGGATGCTGCAAATTTCAGCCCCTCCCAGCTTTAGTCCTTGAATTTCCTGATATATGGCCTTGAAAGTCTTTGAATTTAACGCTTCCTGACCTGTACAAACCCTGATATGTTTTAATCTGTCTAATGCCAGATGATTTTACCCATCAAGGGAAGACCACTGGTACTCAATGGGTTAATACAGGATTTACGCATGACTTATGTGCTCAATGTCTTCATTATAGGCTCATGGCACTTTGGAACAGGAGAAGAAAGAAGCCGTGAAGAATGCCAATGTGGAACTGCTAAAAGAGGTATTGTACAATTTTTGAATTATTATTATGTAGTATAATGTAGTATTATGTAGCTAACTTTTTTCTGTCTATTTGAAAGTTAAAATCATTATCGACATACTTATAATTTAGGTTGTTGTGTAACCCTTTCAATAGCGAACTTAAGCAAAGCTTAATCTGGTATGGGGGCATGTCAAGAAACGGCCTTATATTTTACACTTTTGTAATTATAAAGAACTACCGTTATTAAGAACTTCAAGAAAGCAGAACGGAAGTGCAACGAGAACAGCTAATAATATCATATTAATGCAAGAACATGAGCAGAAATTTACAGTTAAAATCCACAGACGTTTTAGATGTCGCCGTAGCTCTGGGCATAAAATTGAGGGCCTGCCAGGCAGGCTAATTGGGTCCTAAAACGTTTCTCAGTCATAAACCCTGTGTTAATTTTGATCCTTAAACTGTATTATTTTCATACGATGGATAATAGACGACAGGTTTTCTTCTGCAATCGTTTGGTTCAACGAGTTTGTTTGCCGTTGCATTCCCGTCCTACGTGCTTAGGGTCGCTAATGTTTAAACATGTGGAATGTAATCTATTTTAGGTGTCATCTTCATTAGTGGGTAAAAATGAAAACGAAAATGCTGTGGAATTGCAGTCACTGCTATCCAATCCTCATTTGAAAGTAAATATAAATATGTTTTTGAAGTACTGCTGCACATGCATACAAACAAACAAACAAACAAACAAACAAACAAACAAACAAACAAACAAACAAACAAACAAACAAACAAACACCACAGAAATAGAATATCAAAAACAATATGAGTGAATATAACAAATCCTACAAGTTGATTTGTCAAATTTGACATACTAAGCTGTTATATTCACCTACAGGTGAATATAACAAAACCAAAATTTTCAAAATGGCGGCTAGCTGTTTTGTGGAAGTTACTGATAAAGAAATAAGCGAAATTAAAATAAATTCAGTCCCAAAAAACACAAAAGACTTGTGTAAAAATACTAAAACAATTATTCGCCTCAGGCTCTGTGATTATCGGGGGAATGTTCACCTCGACTTCGTCTCGGAGAATATTCCCCGATAATCACCTCGCCCTCGGCGAATAATTGTTAAATATTGAACACTGATAATAACTATTTTATGGATAGTTGGCCTGGGATAAAACCTTAGTCAATATGGTTGACAAGATACATCCAACTTATAACTTCCACAATTGACTAGACAACTAGAAACCACCCACATATTTACATTTGCAATAGAGACTGTGACTTACAGATCTGGTTTCTGCACTTCACTCGGTAATATTAGAATGCTGTTTTTAGGGTTTTGTAATCCAAGTGAGTATATATATACACTTTAAGACCTGACCAGGAACGACTGCGAAAAATGCAGCACAAGGTCCTCTGGTAGGTTCAATTCCTACCAGAGGACCTTGTGCTGCCTTTTGAACCTACCAGAGGACCTTGTGCTGCATTTTTCGCAGTCGTTCCTGGTCAGCTCTTAAAGTGTATACAGCTGTTTCAATTAAGGTTGTCCACGAGCAAAGCGGAAAAGTCGAATACGAGCGCGAAAGGCTGCTGGGAACCGCTTTGAAAATGCATTAATTTGTTAGCGATTCCCAGCAGCCTTTCGCGCTCGTATTCGACTTTTCCGCTTTGCTCGTGGACAACCTTAATTGAAATAGCTGTATATACTCACTTGGATTACAAAACCCTAAAAACATGCGACTTACAGAGACTGTGACTTACAGTACACAGGAGGCTGTATGGATTAGGGTCAACTCGATTCTTCATCTTATGACCATTTGCGAGCTTTGTGAAGCGTGCGTTTAAAACTACGTTTCAAAACATTTCTCCCATGTAGTTTGTCAATCAAAACTTTTTGTTTTGTTCAAAATACAATTTGTGGATGCATGGCATCAGACAAATTGTTTAAAATGTTTGCATTCGCATGTCCAATATAAGCAGGGGCGTCGGAGCGGCTGTAAAAGTGAGGGGCACACTTAGCGCCCGCCGCGGGTGACGGCAGGTGACATTTTAAAATGACAATTTGCGCTTAATAATTGGCGGTCAATATTTATATTCGGTTCGACAGAATCAATATATTCCGTTGAATGCTCGTGATACTGAGGACGATTCAGGCAAATTAACTTTTCGTGAATTCAGTCCTCAAATTGGTTTGCTTTGGAATACGAGTAAACATCAGCAATGGTATGTTAATTTAAGTCAGGCACAAGAAATACCCGGTATCAGTGATTTAACATCGGCTGGTGTACTGCCATTTGACCCATTGGACACACAACATTCAACCACGTTCGAAATTGGTACTCGTGGATAATACCAACAGTGGACTTGGGATGTTTCCGTCTATCGCAGTGAAGTAGAAGACGAGTTCATTGCTTTTACTGAGAGTCACGTTTACCGTTAATTCAGAAAGTGACGCCATTCATCAAGGTATTGAAGCTGGCCTCGATTGGCAACTAACCACATCATTGACGCAATCTGGCGTCATTTATTAACCGGCAATGACTTCCAATCTGACAACCATCCTCTGTACCCCCCTAAAGGCTAAACAAAGCGAACAGACACAACAATGCGAACACGATCATCATGCAGTACAAGCCGAGCGTAAAGAACGACAATCAGTGGCGTGCTGGGTACTATTTTTCTGGGGGGGCCAGTGGGCTGTCAACAAATATGCGCCCCTATAATGTTTCGCTTGATAAACGAGGGCCGAAGGCACGAGCCGAGCGCCTCAGGTGCGAGGTTTGTCTAGGGGAGTCCGGGGGCATGCCCCCAGGAAAATTTTTAAATTTAGAGTCTCTGAAATGCCATTTCCTGGACTTTGGGGGAAGATTTGACAGAAATCTGATGGTCAGGAAACGGCATTATTAGATGTCGAAATTTGCAATTTGGTTTGAATTTAGTAGTAGTACTTATATGCTAACAACTTCCAGCAATTAATCTAATCTCAATTCTATTCTCTACTGCTCTAGTGATCTGAATACATTTACAACATACAGCTCTTTTATACAATAACACACGGACCCCACGCATATGCATTTTAAGGTTTCCATGCCTGGCTGCCAAAAGGGCGCGTTTCAGCATTATTTCATTACTCACATTACTCATGATGTTTCTAGCGCAAACAACTAAATTGCGTACACACCTTTACATTATCATAACTTAAAGTTAAACTATCTAATTTGGTACACAACTTTACATTATCATAACTTAAACTATCTAATTTGCGCCCGGCCGCTCTCGAGATTCGTGAAGCATAATAAAGGGCATAATACCAGCAAAAAAAGGCATGATTCCCATGATCGCTTCGAAACCTGACCAATATTACGGTGACGGAGACATTGCGTGTGATCACAGTTCATGTTTCTATATGAACGATTTCGTGTGAGCCGTGAGGTAGCAAATTAGCAAATACGGTTAGACAAAATAGTCTGTACAATGTAATATATCACTTTGTCGCCTATGCGCTTAGTCTGTTTTATATAAGCCTATAAACACATCTTTTCTCGGCGGAAGTAACTATATTTTTTCGAAAAAAACGCTTTTTTCCACCCACTTTCAAAATTTGTCGCGTGATCGGCGCCCCCTTTTCATTTTTGCGCCCTGCAAGAATTGCCAGCTGGGGGGCCGTGCCCCCCGCCCCCCCCCCCTGCCAGCACGCCACTGACGACAATGGCGAGATGTGGTGATGATTACTCTCCTTTTAAGCACCATCTTGTTAATTAACCATTTTAGGCGTATTATTGTGGTTAGCCATATTATATCAAGAAAGCGACATCAGCAAACCTGATCAAGGCACGGTTATGGCTGCTTTGCATAATTATAATTAGTGCCATGCACTTAAATTTGCGCCGCCTTGTAATTGAGCTAAGAAACAATGCTGGTTGTGATGCCCAAACCACCCACGAAAACACACGTGGTAATAAAACTATAACAACCGTTAGAATAGACTTTCGCAAGGAAGTAATTTCTTGAAGAGTAAGGAATTTGCAGAAGTCAATTATGGTCGCTAAACTACTGAATATAGTAACTTTATGCTCATCATCTAATAATGCGTGGTTCAATCTCCAATTCAACCGCAAATTTATCTTTAACCACTTGCTTCAGTTTATCAGCATATTCCAACACCAGCGTACCAGAACAAGCGTTTGGATTAACGATCACCAAAGCATGATCTTGATGAGTCATCACTTGGTTAAATTGCTTGCCTTTCCAACCCGCTTGCTCAATTAGCCAACCCGCAGATAATTTAAAGCCAGCCTCATCGTTAAATGCCTTTAAATCAGGAAAATCAGCCAGTAACTGGTGGTGTTGTGCCGCGCCAACAACTGGATTTTTAAAAAAGCAGCCCGCATTAGGCAACACAGCTGGGTCAGGAAATTTACTACGGCGTATTGTACACACCGCGTCAAATACTTGTTGCGGGCTTGGTTGTTTAATTTCTTGTTGTTGAAAATATTGTACCAATGTCGGATAAGTAGCCTGTACTGTTGGCTTTTTATGCAAACCTAATGTCACCGAAGTAATACATAATTTATCACGCCATTGTTGTTTAAATACACTTTCGCGATAGGCAAACTGACAATCGGTTTTATTAAACGTTAAGATCTTGCCTGTAGCAATCTCAATCGCTTGCAATGACACGAAGGTATCTTGTAGTTCAACCCCATAAGCGCCGATATTTTGAATGGGGGCTGCGCCAACGGTGCCCGGAATCAATGCCAAGTTTTGCAAGCCGTACCACTGTTGACTTAATGTCCATGCCACTAACTGATGCCAATTCTCACCCGCGCCGATTTCAATTAATACCGAATCTTGATCTTGTTCAATCAACCGTTTGCCAAGCAAACGATTAAGCACAACTAATCCAGAAAAGTCATTTGCTAGTACAATATTACTGCCTTCGCCCAATACCAATAAAGGGCATTCATTTTGCTGTACAAAGTCAAGCGCAGCAGTTAAACCATGTTCGTCAACCGCTTCAAGAAACCAAGCAGCTTGCGCCGGAATGGCCAACGTATTATGGGCATATAAAGAGACATTAGACTGCATCGAATAACTCATATTAATGTATGTTGGATGCCTATAATTACCGAGTTTGTTAAGAAAATTATACTTGTTCCGTAGAATATAGCTTGTCTTCCGTACAAATGCAGTCATTTTCCGTAGAAATGTATAATATTGATGCTGTTCCGTAGAACGTGTAACTATCTATTTCCGTGGAAATGTGATACCTTTTCGTAGAAATAAAGTGTCTTGTTGTCATCCCTAGTCTCTCCAACGAGATTGCGCCACTGATCTGGAATTATTATTTCGCGGCTTATTCCTCGGCTTATTCCAGCAAATTTCAGCACGTTTCTTTTGATTAAAATCTGTTTTAAAATGTTTTGCCAAAGCTGTGGAACTAAACTCTTGGAGAAAACCAAATACTGCCGGTGTCACTGATCCGGAAATATTACGTGGCTTATTTATTCCTCGGCTTATTCCAGCAAATTTCAGCACGTTTCTTTTGATTAAAATCTGTTTTAAAATGTTTTGCCAAAGCTGTGGAACTAAACTCTTGGAGAAAACCAAATACTGCCGGTGTGTTCGTCATCACAACCCGGTATTTATTCAATAATATGTAAATTTTGTAAATATTTACAATAAATACTGTGGTTTTAATTTTTGAACTCAATTCCTAAATAACTTTCAAAAACTCATTAATAATTCATGAAGCAATTATCCAATCTTGAGTAAGAAATTAGTCACGTGCATACGTCTTTATACCAGCTAAAGAACACTTTAACAAAAGACCATTGTTATGCAAACTATATAAAGATTTTTATAACACTTTAACAAAAGACCATTGTTATGCAAACTATATAAAGATTTTTATATATATATATATATATACATATACGTATACATATACATATACATTTGACATATGTTTTAAAGATGCGGTACAGTCCGATCTGCGCATGTGCACAAAGGAGCCCTTTTTTATTTACAAACAGTTTATTTAAGTTTTTATTTCATTTTACGGTTCTTGCAAAGCTTGATTGTTGTGTCTTGATAATTTATTATACTCTAGAATCATGAAAATATAAATAGTTGTTGAATAAAATTCAATATTTTGGATACCGAAATGTAAACAAAGCCTTTGTTTACATACGGACCGTACCGCATCTTTAAGTTGTCCTAGTAACATTAAAAATAAAGAAGTCTTTATCCTGGACAATTTCAGTCTGAATATTCTCTGGTTTCACGTGTATTCCGTCACGAATGCCTGCATTTTGCTGTAGATCCTCAAACATTGACATTGTCGTCAAAGTTTGAGGTGTGAACGCCGCATTGGAGGAGCCGCAAGAAAAGAGGATCTTTTGAACTCTAGCTAAAATTTTGTTTGACTTATAAAGTATAATGTTAGGCAATACGATTTATAAACCTATAATATATAGGAATGCTAATAAAAATTATTGTTATTGTACTAGGCAAATGAGAACCATGCAATGAATGTTTTAGTTCTTGTTAGTATTTTGAACACACTCTTTATTGTTATCATGAATTTTGCTTACATTACATAATTTTGAAGCCATTTTTGAGGCCACCTAATCGCTTTTTGATTAAGTTTTGATAAAAAATACTCATTATAAATGCGTTAATTGTTAGTAGTTCTATTAAACAAACCAAAAAGATCGAACACGGAAAATTACTTGCGCGAACTTAAAGCTGCGCGATTCGAGAAGCGTTTAGTCAATCAGGACCGTTAAGAAGGTTACTCATTTTCATTTTTGCACAAATGGAATCTCTGAACCCCGTTTGTTGGCCTACAATGGCGAGATGTGGTGAAGGTTATTCTCCTTTTAAGCACCATCTTGTTTACCATTTTAGGCGTATTAATGCGCTTAACCATATCAAGAGAGCGATATCAGCCAATCTGATCATGGCACGGTTATGAAGTGGACTGGGAACAGGCTAGGTTATGGCTGTCTTTGCATAATTAGTGCCATGCACTTAAACCTTAAACCTGCGCCGCTTTGTAATTGAGCTAAAAAACAATGCTGGTTGTTATGCCCACGAAAACACAGGTGGTTTGGTGTGTCCGAGTAATATTGAACGTATACAGTAGAGAATGGAAATAACAACCGTTGCAATGGTCGCTAAACTACTGAATAGTAACTTTATGCTCATCATCTAATGTACTTTATGCATGCTCATCATCGGGTATTCTGTCTGATAAACTTGAAACAATACAGAAAAGAGCCCTGAAAATATTTTTCCCATCTGCTTAAACATATCTAGAAGCTCTACAGTTAGCTGGGATTGAAAGTGTAGCCGATTGGAGAATTATCATATATGTAGAAAATACATGAGTAAAATGAAAAGAACAAATCCTCCCCTACATGCGTTAATTGCCCAAAAGCGCGGACAAAAACTGTAATTACAATATGAGCTTGGAGACAAAACTGAAGAAGTTTTCCTGTATCAAGACTTTAAGTTCTGTAGAACTAAAAAGACAAAAAACGTTTTTTACCTTCAAATATTATTAACATTTTAATAGACTCTTGTGATGTTACTCTGAGTGTATATTCATGCACACTGGGCAAGCTTGAAAAATATGCCTGGCCACGGTGGGATTCGAACCTATACGACCTTTCGTATGTTCGATTCCCACCGTGGCCGGGCATATTTTTCAAGCTTGCCCGGTGTGGATATACATGCAGAGTAACATCACAAGCATCATATTCACCTGAGTACATAACACCAACACAGAAAAATTTTAATAGCCCTTCTCTTTTAAAGACATTCATTGTAAACATAAATTTAGATTTTATATAGATTATTTGGATTAAATTGTACTAGTTTTTTTACATTATATCATATAGTTATACTATAATATTGTGAATATATAAACTCGGTAATTCAGTCTTTGTAACTGTCAAAGAGTTTCAATATGCCAAACTCGGTAATTCAGTCTTTGTAACTGTCAAAGAGTTTCAATAAACCATAATTAAATAATTGCTGTGAAGCAAGCGAGCGAGCAGTCTAATTTGTGCAGAGAGGCGTCTGTTCAGTAAATTTTCTATTGCATGCGTTGCATTGTGGTTGTGCTCAGTTGTTGTGCGCAGTACACATCCACCCCACTCCACGTGCTTTGACTCGCTACACTACAGACTGGTAGATTAGTTTTGGTTTCTTAAGCCCCGTTTACACTACGCTTAATTTTTGGTACCGTACCACTTTTTGGTTCTTGGACTACCTAAATAGGTAGTCCGAGAACCAAAAAAGTGGTACGGGTACCAATTTTATCCGTGCCGTACCAAAAATTGAGCGTAGTGTAAACGGGGCTTTAGTTTAATTAATACTGTTTATATATAATGTGGTAAATGCGCCTAGCAAAAACTTTTACCAATGTATTTATACGCGTACTAAGCGCAAAAAGGTTTCTAAAAGATCTCTCTAGCCCTACGTATAGATTATAAAAATGTAAATAGTTAAATTTTATTGTACTTTGGAAAATTGGGCGAAATAAATAAATAAAATAAAAATAAAGCAGCGCGTAATTCAACAGATTCAACTTGCCGGCACTTGGTCTTGGAAATATTACATATTCATGCCGTGTGGCTTAAGAATGCTTTGTCGTTTGTACTTATACGCGTACTTATGCGGCGCGTAATTGAACAGATTCCACTTGGTCTTGAAAATATATATTCTTGCTTATGCTTTAGTGAATATTAACTCATTTTCATAAGATTAAAACATTAATTAACATCAATGAGACGCACATGTTTAACATATCTGTCACCTGTGATTGCCCTTTAACCCCTGGTCTTGGCGCATCGCTTCGAGTATAAATAACTGTGCTTTATATAATTTGTACTATTTAGTTCTATTTGCTCTTAATGCCCGCAGCAATCCCTGCCTTGCGGGTACCCTAGTAAATATATAAACTCTGTAATTCAGTCTTTGGGACTGCGAAAGAGTTTCAATAAACCATAATTAATTCGAGAATTAATTAACTAATAATGCGTGGTTCAAACTCCAACTCAACCGCAAATTTATCCTTAACCACTTGCTTCAGTTTACCAGCATATTCCAACACCAGCGTACCCGAACAAGCGTTCGGATTAACGATCACCAAAGCATGATCTTGATGAGTCATCACTCGGTTAAATTCCTTGCCTTTCCAACCCGCTTGCTCAATTAGCCAACCCGCAGCTAATCTAAAGCCAGCCTCAACTTTAGATGCCACTAAATCAGGAAAATCAGCCAGTAACTGCTGGTACTGTGCCGCGCCGACAACTGGATTTTTAAAAAAACTGCCCACATTAGGCAACACAGCCGGGTCAGGTAATTTACGACGGCGTATTGTACATACCGCGTCAAATACTTGTTGCGGGTTTGGCTGTTTAATTTCTTGTTGTTGAAAATATTGTGCCAATGCTGGATAAGTAGCTTGCACCGTTGGCTGTTTATGCAAACGTAATGTCACCGAAGTGATACACAATTTATCACGCCATTGTTGTTTAAATACACTTTCGCGATAGGCAAACTGACAATCGGTTTTACTAAACGTTAAGGTCTTGCCTGTAGCAATCTCCATCGCTTGCAATGACACGAAGATATCTTGTAGTTCAACTCCATAAGCACCAATATTTTGAATGGGGGCTGCGCCAACGGTGCCCGGAATCAATGCCAAGTTTTGCAAGCCATACCACTGTTGACTTAATGTCCATGCCACTAACTGATGCCAATTCTCACCCGCACCGATTTCAATTAATACCGAATCTTGATCTTGTTCAATCAACCGTTTGCCAAGCAAACGATTAAGCACAACTAATCCAGAAAAGTCATTTGCTAGTACAATATTACTGCCTTCGCCCAATACCAATAAAGGGCATTCATTTTGCTGTACAAAGTCAAACGCAGAAGTTAAACCACGTTCGTCAACCGCTTCAACAAACCAAGTAGCTTTCGCCGGAATGGCCAACGTATTATGGGCATATAAAGAGACATTAGACTGCATCGCGTCGTTTTGAATTGAATAGCAATCACTGGCGCTGCTCAAGTATTTGCTGCCATTCTTATTGCTCCGTCCACAGAGACTCATGAGGCCTGTGACTTCTAGGAAAGGAAGGACTCAGCCTTGCCACGTGTCACACGAAACTATCCTCGATTTTTCGCCTTTAAATGAATTTCTTTCGAGATTAATCGATATCCCCTGCAAGAATGATACCGTACAACACCCAAAACAACGATGCTTTAACCAAAGCGCTTAAACTCGCTCTAAAATCCGTGAGGGAATGACAAAATTCGGCCAAAGTATATCCACGTGTCGCTTTGCTGGACAAAAGCCGGAAGTCGTTGAACAACTCAAAATATAAAATACTTTTGTTTGTGGAAACTGGAAACAAAGAACTAATTAACCTACAAAGAACTTATTACCTCAAAATACACTCAAACCTATATTACAGTTATTAAATTTTACAGTTATTCGTGATTTTACAGCTATTCGGCGTATTCGCGATACTACAAAACTCTCCATGAAAATACCTGTATCTTTATCGTATGCCTTAAATTTGATTTCGTCCATAATATTACATCTTCTGTTTGGCGAAATGGGTTTTCCGTTTTGAAAACAACGGCCTTTCTTGTATTTATCCGCCACATTTCTACAAATTCAACTGTAATCCCGCTGCTTAGAAACATTGTCATTTGACCCTAGAAACGGTCAATTTTGAACAGTCCAACGCGCTTGAAAGATTGTGTGTATCCAATGCACACTGCATATATTGACATATACTTATTATATGCTATTTGAACGCCAGAGCAGGGTTGAGCAAAATAATAATAGCCATACTTAGATATAAAAAATGACAGCAAATCATTATACGATTTATTATGCGAATAACTAATGCAAAGTAATGCATGGTTGCACGCGTATATATAATAAACTAAACACTGTTCCAGAACACCGTGTGCCCCAAAAAGTCGGGCAACTTCACTTTGGACAGACGGGTTTTGGTCGTTGTTTGCGAAACGTGCTGACGCAGAACTGGCATTGCCGTTTGGCGGTTTGCACTTGTTGACCCTGGACTTACTCGGCTACGTACTCGATTGATTTTCGTTTGTGCCTTTTACTCCATTTAGAGCACCTGAAATAGCTGTAATCACTTGTTCGTTGTCAAGCGAACGCCGCAAAAGTCTTCTTCCACGATCCAATTTGTCGCTGTTATTATATCACAGTCATTAATATTACATGCAGTTACAGCATGTTACAGCCAATTCCGTTTGACCTTATAACAACATGCGTTCGCAAAAGGTCTTGTCTAAAGCCTAGTTTCCATTTGGTCGTTAGTTGTCGCTGGCACGACAAGCAGTAGATGTGAAATAGTCTAATATAATAATAGTCTTTTTGTGTGTTATATGCAAATCAGTCTTAGTGATTGCAGAGTTTTATAAAGTTTTGTTGACACTCTATTACATCAGCCACTTGTCGTGCCAGCGACAACTAACGACCAAATGGAAACTAGGCTTAAAAGTACATGCGAGTGACCACGAATGACCACGAGTGATTTCTGTGTTCAAAAATCATAAAATAATAATAAACTATTTTAAGGTGGCTCCCTAGGGTTTTTGCATTAAACTACACTATACAGCTAACTCAAAAAGGTTGTCCGCCTTTGCAAGCCTTCAACTCTAAACCTTAAACTCTAAGCGCAAATGGAAGCACACGTTTCCAGCTTAGTAGTTGAATATTACAGCTATTTGTGAATGAATTGTTCTCGTAAGGAGATATTTACCATGTCTCTAAGAAATGGGCCACATATATGATTTCTACACTGATTAAATTATGCTCCCATTATGCTTTGCACGCTTAGAGTTTAAGGTTTAGAGTTTAAGGTTTAAGGTTTAGAGTTTAAGGTTTAAGGTTTAGAGTTTAAGGTTTAAGGTTTAGAGTTTAAGGTTTAAGGTTTAGAGTTTAAGGTTTAAGGTTTAGAGTTTAAGGTTTAAGGTTTAGAGTTTAAGGTTTAAGGTTTAGAGTTTAAGGTTTAAGAGTTTAAGGTTTAAGAGTTTAAGGTTTAAGGTTTAGAGTTTAAGGTTTAGAGTTTAAGGTTTGCAAAGGACAACCTTTTTTGAATGAGCTGTAAAGTATCGAGTAAACTTTGCTGACGACACAAAGGACAACCTTTTTTGAATGAGCTGTAAAGTATCGAGTAAACTTTGCTGACGACACAAAGAGTTAAATTTGCAATATTTTAATCTTGCACAAGCCTTTGAAGCCATTAAACAGGTGTTAAAATAAAAAAAAAAAAACATTGATTTTTTATTCAGGGTTTAGTAGAAAGTCATGATGCAATAGCCAACAAAGTGTATGATGAAACGCCACCTCTCGCCACTCCGGATTCGCCTGATTCAAATGGCGTTGCAACTGGTGGTGAACCAATCAGAATGGTTGGCTTAAATAAATCACCTAACGAGTCACTGGTATGTCAACATGGTTGTAATAATTTGCATTTGATCATATTATAAACAGAAGTAACAAGACCAAGATTCAGGGGCCGCGAAACTGGGGAGGGGGGCATTGGGGGCATGTGTCCCCCCCCCCCACTTTTTTTAATTAAAAAGTGAAAAAAGTGCCCTTTTTTCTGGGCTAAAGTGCGAAAAAAGTATTAACGTTTAACGAACGAAAAAAGTATTTCTTAAATGAACGCCCTCTTGCTGGAAAGAAAGTGCCCTCTTTGCAGTATTAAGGCTCTGTAAAGGCCATTTCCGACGTTATAGAGACTCATATTTTCAAAACATTTTTGTTCGGCTCGTGAATGACGTTTGATTTTGGTCATATACAGAAGTGCCCCTTTTGGCCAATGCCCCTTCACTTTCGAAATGCTTCCGCGGCCTTTGCCAAGATTCATTTTGCTTACTTTATTAATAGTTCAGTCTACATGTATATCCAGTATATATTACAGGAAATATTTCATGATTTTTGAACTTCTTAAGGGCTTAACTCTGAAGCAACAAGGTGGAAATATTGTTGTGGCAAGGATAATGAAAGGCAGCATGATAGACAAACAAGGTCAGTTCTATGTGACTATGTCTTGAAATTGTGTACGCTGAATGAAACTTTATTGGGTGATTCCAGCTGCAGACTAAATTTTGATCAAGGCACGAAGAACGAAATCCAACACCACAGCTAGAAAGAGCGTCTTAAAATGAGTAAAACTGCAAAGATTGGTTGCTAAATGTTGTAAAATGAAGAAAATATAGCCATGTGAAGTTCGCAAAATTTGTGTATATTTGTATTACGTGCGGTAAAAATAACCACTTTCAGCTCAAAAATGGTTATTTTTCCCGGGCGTAATACAAATATATACAAAATTTGCGAACTTCACAAGCCTATATTTTCCTCATTTTACAACATTTCGCAACCAAATTGTGCAATTTTACTAATTTTAAGATGCTCTTTCCAGCTATATGGTAATGGTTTTGTTTTGTTTTGCTGGAATCATCCATTGACTGGAGCATTAGTAGTACACTTCCCATTTCTGAACAGTTGCAGAATGAGAGAGATACTACTGTCTGAAATACAAGGAGAACTTCGACTTTCGAGCGAAGGCCCTATACGTCAGGAAATTACAGTAGTAGCGTGGGTTGGGGAAATTACATGAGCTTTTATACACTAGCAAATTAAAAGCGATTACATGACAAAAACTGAACCATTCAGATGGATTTAGTCAAAACAAAGTGTAAACAAAAAAATCACATTACAGAATATATTAATACATGCAAATATATGGAAAACTACAGCAAATACAAATGATATATGAAACAAGTATGGAATAAGGTGAGAACATTTACAGTACCGTAAATGTCTGCTTTTGATAGCTTGCGAGGCAGGACAGTCAAAGACAGATAGAGCTATAAGCATAGGAAAAACATTCATTAATACCGTAGGGGTGGATAGCGCCAAGTTTGGAAATGAAACATCTCATTTCTTCTCTTGTTAAGGTTTACTTAACGTTGGTGATATAATCAAGGAGGTCAATGGTCAGCCAGTAAAAAATAACCCAGAAAAAGTCCAGAAAATCTTGGTATGTATAACATCATAACATGTCACTTATCCAGGGTCTGAAATTTAAGTTGTTTTTCAGTACCCCAGTGAGGTATCAGGATTCAAAGCTCTAGTCAATCCCATATGAGGATCCAGTATCCCACATGTACATCTGGATACCGGTTCCCATAATTTTTGGCATCCTTGAACCCTCAGTTGAAAGTATGTAAATATAAATAACAACAGAAGGCTCAACAACTAGAGTTGAAAATCAAAGCTGGTTATTTTCAAGAAGGCAGGCTCGTAGTATTCAAAAGCTACAGTATTGGTAGACAACCAGAGACATTTAGCATTATCCTAATGTTTGAAATTAATATGCAGGCAGGATACAAGTCATTCACAGTTTGGTATCCAAAACCATATTTTTGTATCCTGTGGATATTGGGATACTGGAAATTTCAGACCCTGAATCATGTATCATAGTTAAAACGGAAAAAAATTCCTGACAAATTGCGTTATTTTAACAGAAAGATTCCAGTACCAAAGTAACGTTAAAGGTCTCTCCAAGTCATACCAGCAAACCCTACCATGGTCAGGTAAGATTGCATGATTAAGAGTATGCTTCATTGTATGCTTAACAAAGAAGGGTTTTTTCTCTCCATGTTTTCCTAATGTTTTGTCTTGTTTAGGTTTTCATGAAAACGCAGTTCTCATTTGACCCAACTAACGACAACGATATCCCGTGCAAGGAAGCTGGTTTGGCTTTCCAGAAAGGAGAGATTTTGGAAATACTTGATCAAACTGACGCTACATGGTGGCAGGTAAGCCAGCAATGCAGACAAATGCCACCCACTTAGATTTTACTTTTTAGATAGCTTTTTAGTAGAATAATGAGACGAAAGTGGGGCTTCTGTGGCGCAGACGCCAAAGCAAGCGCCTTTCACCTCTGAGATCCTGGGTTCGAGTCTCGCTATGGACTCATGTGAAAAGAGTCAGTCAACGCTCTGCCCAATATCGTGGGGTTTCTCCGGGTGCTCCGGTTTCCTCCCACAGGGAAAGTTGACAGGGTGGGTTAGGATAAACACAGCTAGGAAAGTAATATCATGCACAGTTGTTGTAAAGATAAAATAGTCTAGGCTGAGTATGTATAATAGACCTTTCCCCTTGTGAATGAAATTTTGATCTAGATATGCCTGGACAAACATTTCATCACAGCTTGAAAGAGCATCACAAAATTAGTAATATTCCAAAGTTTCGTTGCGAAATGTTGTAAAATGCGGATAATATAGCCTTGCGCAGTTTGTCGTTTTTCAGTCATTTTGTATTACAAACGGGAAATTGATAATCAGATGATCAAACTGATGCAAAATGTTAAATTGTAATGCAAAATGACTGAAAAACGGCAAACTTCGCAAGGCGGCTATATTATCCGCATTTTACAACATTTCGTAACGAAACTTCGGAATATTACTAATTTTGTGATGCTCTTTCAAGCTGTGATGAAATTGTTGCCCAGGCATATCTAGATCAAAATTTCACTCATAAGGGGAAATGTCTATTCAGTTGTATTGACCAAGATGGCCAACATTTCATTTTACTTTTCTACCCATTAGTTATTACAATGTAATGCACTTAATTATACATGATTGAACATATCTATTGCATTTTTGAAATTTAGGCGAAGAAAGTTGATGGCGATGGTGGAACAGGATTAATACCAAGTCGAACATTACAAGAAAAGTAAGACAGACGGTGCACTGTACATGATTACGTGATCATAGAATATTATTACGGTCTGATACTTCTTGGTTTTCAGTATACAGCAGGTCAGGGCTGCAAAAATATTTTATTTTCTGAGACCGCAAGGCTAACGAAAACATTTTCTGCAAGTAAAGTTAGTAAAAGACATCAAATCCTGTGGTTTTTAATATTTTATTGCAACCAAATAAAATTCAGTGTATTCTAGACAAATTCTAGACCGATTTCGTATATTTTTGTCTTTATGATCTCTAGGAAACTCAGTAAAGTATAGTCACTAAAATTAGTAAAAAGCACTTACTTTCCTTTAAGACTTTTTACCTTTTACGGTTTACCTGCCATTTATTTCTGCTATAACCTCAAATATTTTCTGGGTCCAATGGTCCGCTATAATTTGCAGCCCTGACGTAGGTACGCAGTGCTCTTGCTATCTGTGTACTTATATTTTGCTGGTTCCAAAAAATTTCCAGCACAGTCTCAGAGATAAATAGATGAATAGAATCATTTGACATAAGTGCATAAATAGATGATAATCATCTATCTAGGGGAAACCTAACCCTAATCTAACCCTAATTCTAACCTCTAACCCTAATCTAATCATAATCTAATCTTAATCTGACACTAATCTAAACTTGATGACCTTTTTTTAAATGTCCTTTTTTTAACAAAAAGTTCCCATGATTCTATTCATCTATTTATTCCTATGTTTCACTTCTTTTTAAGACGAAGAACATTCATTCATCCAAATGTGACGCACAGACGAAGCTTTTGTAAGTTCAATTTTCCTGACAAACATTCGTAAGTGTAGCAGTATAATTCGCCTGCCTGAGGCAGCTAAGAATATGTTAAACTATGTGTTAATCTTTCATTGCTAGTCATGTGTGGATCGCGAAAAAAGAAAAAGACTATGTACGATGTGAAGAAAACATCAGGTATTTTAATATCATGCTTAAAACCAAGGCCGGATTTTGAGGGGAGGTCTCCCCTGAGATCGTTTTGCACCTCCCCTGAGAATTTTTGCACCTCCCCTGAAACGTCATGCACCTCCCCTTGGGAAAGTTTCAATGATAGATCAAAATGAAAATTTGACATTTTTTGGTTGCTTAGGGTCTACACTTCGTAAGAAAGTTTTTCTGTAAAATGGAAACAGTGATAGCAGTTCATCTCTGTGTCAAGTACCCTTTTAATGCAATGTTTTGAAAGAAACTGTACTAATTGTAATGAAGGGCAAAATTGGATGAGTTGTACAGTCATAATTCATTAGTACATATGTACACTACATGCATACGTCACGTCGTTGACTTTGGCCCGTTCTAAGCCCTAACTTTCCATGGGGGTCATGAGCTAGTCCACTCCACCTTCCCTAAATTTTTCCCACCTCTCCCACTATATTTCCACCACAATCCGGCCTTGGTATTAAGCGAACTTCACAATAGCTCCTTCCTTGGTCTAAGCTAAGTATATTTGAACAAGATTAAAGTTTATAGTAATTAGTAATCGAATAGTTTTTGTTGTCAACGCCGGCTTGTTGACAGCTTGTTATAAGGTTGTCGGACTCAACAGACTTGTGACTGACAATCTTTCGTATACAACTTACTGAGAAGCTTGTTGGGATATTAAGTGGTTGAACATATTTCAGATGAAATTTTTTGTGCATGTATTTGCAGAAAGACCCAAAACCATGTACAAGTATATGTACAGTATAGATGAGCAATTTTTCCTTGACAAGTTTTATTTGCTCGTGTGCACGACAAAATATTGACAGTTTTTCCCTGCCAAGGAGCGCTGTTCCAAAGCTAGTCATGCCAACTTTGGACAAGGAAAATCTGTTTAAGAAAACTTGACAAGTGTACAAGAAATATTTCTATGGTTTTGGCAAACAGAAGGCGCCTTGATGTAAGATAAGTGTTTAACAACATCCCGTTCACACGCGAGCAACAAAATGTGTCAAGGGAAATTTGTTGACCGTACACACGAGAAGGTAAACTTTTTGCACGCGGCTTAACAATTGCCTTTCATTATGTTTTATAGAGTTCGACCGACATGAAGTGTCTTCTTATGAAGAGGTTGCTAAAATGCCTCCGTTTGAACGAAAGACTTTAGTTTTAATTGGTGAGCATGACACTTGGGGCAATTGTGCTCTGTAAACATAATCCCCGTAATCGATATGATAAACATTTTGTGTGTGTTGTTGTTATGTACTCAGGTGACGATGATGTTTGTGATGTTACTCTGAGTCTGCATCCACACATCATCGGTGGGAATCGACCCCGCGACCTTTGGGATACTAGTCCAATGGTATACCAACTGAGCAACGAGGTCAAGTCGGTTCGAGCACTATGGTTCGAGTAACATCAAAAACATGATAAACGTATTTGTATATTTAGGAGCAGAAGGGGTTGGCCGCAGGACGTTGAAGAACAGAATTGTGGCGAGTGATCAAGCGCGATTTGCGACCGCAATTCCACGTAAGTGTTTCAATTTTTGGAAGTTTACCCAAATTAGGGCCTGTACATATGAGCCTGGTAAACTCGCCAGGGGCGGATTTACCGTGGGGGTGCATACCCCACCTAGTGGTGTCTAGCCCCCCCCCCCCTTCCCCCAAGAGAACTCCAGCACCACCCTAAAATATCTGCTTGACCGTACATTTTCTGCTTTTCGAATAGCGATTAGCGGAACTTCTACTGTTAGCTCGCGTCGATATCTTGGAATGATTTAATTGATATGTGAGAAAATATTCACAGACACACCGGACGCGATTCGACAACGCGACGCGATTTTCACTCGCCGATAACTTTGATCCTAGTTTAAATTTTCCAATTATTTAGAAGCGCTATAACATTTTGAGTTATTTGATCTACATATCTTTCCAAATTTGCTCTCATCGGCTGCTTTATTAACTTTCAAAAACTAAAAAATCACATCGCGTTGTCGAATCGCGTCCGGTGTGTCTGGACTTTAAAGGCTCGTTTACACTTGCAATTTTTGCCGCGATTTCCTTCTTCTGATGGATGTGAACGAGTGGATGAGTTATGAAAGTTCAGATGAGGGTGCATATACTCAGAACATTCATAACTCATTTACTCGTTCACATCCATCAGAAGAAGAAAATCGCAGTGAAAATTGCAAGTGTGAAAGGGCCTTTAGTTAAAGAATCATTGTCAACCAACCACAATGCATTGTGCGCCCAAACCTGCTTGGCGGCCATTTTAATGGCGGAATAATAGATGTTTCGGTTTTCAATCCATAATATATTACTACCATCCTATGGTTATACTTGCTCATTTTAACTTTTTTATACTAAAATTGCACCAAAGAAATGTTTATAATCGTCATTCGTTGCTATTTTTCACTTCCGAAGGTAAGATGTAAACAAATGCATTGTTGTTGACAATGACTCTTTAAATATCATGGTTAAATATGTAAACATATCGAGGTTGTTATACAGCTATGGTTTCAAACATAGTGTACTTTAACAAGCAAATTTACTGAGCTACAGCAACTGTCCAGTCACGCATACGTGATAAAAAAAGATCTAAACTGTATAAAAAAAGATGATGTAAAACTATTTCTTCTATAAAACCCTGTTCGTCCATCTGTAGACACGTCACGCGAGGCGAAAGAAGGTGAAGAAGATGGCAAAGGATATCATTTTGTAACTAAAAATAAAATGACAGAGTTACGTCGTGCTAACCAGTTCTTTGAATATGGTGAATGTAATGGTAACATGTATGGTACCAGTATTGACAGTGTGAGAACTGTCATTGACCAACGCAAAATGTGTGTGCTAGATATGCAGCCTGCGGTAAGTACATGTGTATTTGTATTTTACTTCTACGATTAGGTTTTATAAAATAACATGTATATAACGCGTGCTCTGATTGGCCGAAACCCGTGTTTGGATCAGGCCATCCAAACACGGAAATTTAAAATACCTTCGCGGGAATTTTAAACCCTGTTGTTATTTTATAAAACAATTACTTTATGGTTTCCGTGTTTGGATGGCCTGATCCAAACACTTGGGAATGTTGCTTATATACACCTTATATACCCGAATTGCCAGTACATGTATTTCCTTTCATATCGAAATATCTTCATTGTTCATCCCAAAGACATAAAGTTATACAAAAACATTGATGCAAATATGTAGAACCTAGGGGCGCTCGAAGGCGAAAAATGGTGCCAGGGAAGATTTGCGAATTGTGCTCTATGATATGACAGCTCGGTTCGATTCCCAGGATGAATCCAGCCAGATTTGGTAGCAATGTGTTCCTCGAGCTTTGGTCATGGTTCAGGGTGCGATCGTTGCCCAAGTACCACCCAGCGCTTGGAGGTTGAGCACCCACTTGCACCCCTATTCACCCTGTAAATCCACAACCTCGTTCTCAGGCTATACCTCTTGTGGAGGAAAGACCCTGGTAGAAGCTGGTCAAGTGATCTCCTAAAATCAAGCAGATTTCTACTTGATGATGATGATATTTATACTTTAATTTATAACTTACATTTTGTTTTGCAAAGTTTGATCTGATTTTAAGGAATCCAAGATAATACCAAGATAGTTAATTAGAAATCTGCTAGAATTTAGCAGATCACATGACCAGCTCCTACCAGGGTCTTTCCTCCACAAGAGGTAAGAGACTGGGAACGAGGTTGGTAAATCCATCGCTGCCAATAATGTATGGTCCTTAGTAGACCTTTGGGAAAGCAGTTTAAGTTTAGTTTAGTTTGAACGCAGTGTCGATTGCTAAAAAGGCGCTTTGTTGATTGTAGGGGTTGAAAATGTTGATCAGTTCAGAGTTTATGCCCTACATCGTATTCATTGCAAGCCCGAGTGTGGACGAACTTACTCAACGTCAAAACGAGGCACCATCCAATGCAAGAAAACTGACGGTAAGAAAATATATGTCTACTTAACTGATTACTGATCTCAAAATTCTGCTGGATAGCACATCTGCTATGTTTTTTGGTTTGCACTTGACGTCATGCCGGCCATTTGGAAGAACGCTAACAAAATAATTTCATTAGCAGCTGTTGTGTTTGGAGTGTGTTTTCCTCCAAACATGGCTGCCATATCTTTGTCTTATAAACCACAAATACTATAGGGACATTAAGATTTTACAGCAAACCGTAAACTTCGTATCGCATTTGAAGTGATAGTTTAAATATAAATAAGTGTTCTTCCTCCGATTTCTAATTACAGACAAGCAGGTTGAAAATACGAGACGAAGCCGAGTTTTTGCAACCAGCTTGTCTGTCTTTAGAAATCAGAGGAACAATACTTACGAGTGTTTGAACTTACTTCTCAAAAGAACCCGTATTTTAAGAGGAAATCGAGATTAAAGTTGGCGAAATTCGGCTGTTGTATTCCTTCGATTTCGAAATACTGATTATTTATTTATTTTGAATTTTCTTCATGAATTATTAATGAGTTTGACTATAAAGTAGTCAATTTCTTTTCTATTTGAAACAGGCTTCTCGACCAATCAGTGAATGGTATAAAATCCGAAATCCGCTTTTTCCACTCTTTCCGCAACACGCATTTCTCACTCAATCCGCATTCCGCATTTTCCACCAAACCCATCAAAATGGCTTATAGCATTTCTGTTTTACGTTACAGAGAGAGGAGATGTCGAAAATTGTTGAGCAATCGGAAATGATCAATCGCGACTACTCGCAACACTTCGATCTAACTCTAGTGAACAAGAACGTTACCGATTCATATGATCGAGTAATGAAAACAGTCGAGGGACTGAGTACCGACTCACAGTGGGTGCCCGTTAGTTGGGTATATTAACCCGCAAACACCCGTTTTAAAACTTAACTTAGTTAGCCCAGAACGCCGTTGTTGTTATAGAACGTGTTTTAGAACTTCGTAGTTGTAGGCATTTGTTTTTAATATAGCGAAGCTGTAAGTACAAACAGGAAAAATTTTTAGCTTTAGACGGGATTGAGTCCAAGAATTCCGAGTGAGCTCTATATATGTCTGGAGTGAGAACGTGCGTTTAAAAAATGAAGCCAAAGATGGCGAAAATATATTGACGTCCAGTGCCAGGCCCCTTCGAAAGCCGTCACATCACGCCATATTGGCTTCACTTTTCTTAATATAGGCAAGGCCGAATGATTGAAGTTCCTCACTCCAGATAGATATAGAGAGCTCATTGATGCTACCCCGGTTGTATCGAGATTCTGGGGTTAGAATGAGACCCACGTTTATACTAGAGCGAAAGATGCCAGACTCACTAAGAAACTGAAATGTTTTAGTACCAGATTCATGAATCATGTTGCTTTACATATACGCAACGAAGAATTCGATAAGAAATCTCCATTTTGAGCCACTTTGCTTTTGTTTATACCTTCTTTAGCTTTTTTGAGCATTTGTTAAATTTATTAATAATAGATGAGGTTTAGATTTCACTACCGCTACGCATTAATTAACAATTATTCGCCGAAGGCGAGGTGATTATCGGTGAATAAAAACCGAGACGAAGTCGAGGTTTTTATTCACGATAATTACCGAGCCTGAGGTGAATAATTGTTTTAGTATAATTTCATAGGTGATTATTTGGAAAAAAATAAGAAAATACACATTTCTTCGTCATTTAATTGACAAAAGGCTTCGGCCGCCATTTTGAAAATCGCTTAGGTGATTATCGCGTAATAATCACCTCAACGGCAACCAATCAGCGTGGAGAATTTTCAATAATCACCTATGTAATTATACTAAGGACCTGTTATTTTTTGTGGAGGGGGATGGCACCGTGAGATGTTTTCTTGGCAAAAAATGTTGCTGACATAACCATTAAAACGTGAAAAAATGTTTACCCAACCTCAAATATCAATTTAAAATAAATACACATCCCTGGCCAAAAACGATACCATTCATTTGTCACACATGTCCTTTACCACTTCTGAGACACGAGTTTGATAACTGCTTGTGCAATTTTCTGCAGTCTAAAGTTTCATGTTGTCTGCACATGTACTTTGTTTGGAGACACCATTTGCCTCCTGACAAATTGGAAAATGATCAAGATAGTGACACTCACTGATTTACATATTGTATTGACATACGACTGTTGACATTGCTTTTTAGCCTTCGATATTTGAGTGAGTCGTACGTTGGAAATGATAACCTGAAATTCAGTAGGGCCTGAATTTCAGGTTATGCAATTATGGAAATGACAATATAATTTTTTTACCCAACTCCCGAGTCGTTTTGTTTTTCGTTTACCCAACCTTTTACTCACTCAAGATTTTGTTTACCCAACCCTTTTCTCTTTCGGTGCCAATTCCCCAGCGAATAATTGTCTTCGTATAAATTTCCTAACGAAATAAAACAATATATCTAAATATCATTTTAAGAATTGAGAAATTCGTTGCTTTATTTAGACTTTTAGTACAAAGTCGCAGTGTTTTTTTTGCACACGCTTTAAAATTGCTTCCTGTGTGACAAAATTGTTTGTCTCTCTTGAGACTGGCTTACATTATCAACCTTTCTGTGATCACAGTAGGAATTTTGCATGGGTAAATCTTAAGTTTTACAGGATTTGTATACGAAATGTTTGAGCAAAGTAAACACCATATAAGATATCTATGGTAAACATCGATCAGTCTGTTCTCAAACATTTCTTACAAATCCTTCAAAACTTAGAATTTACCCATGCAAAATTCCTACTGTGATCACAGAAACTTTGATAGTGTATAAACCAGCTTGGCTTTAATCCCTGCTTGGTGTATTGATTGGTTGCCTGGCTCTGGATAACCATTTCCCTCGGAGCAAAAACAAAATGGCTTCCCGTTTCGTCCCAGTTCCAGACGATCAAATTGTTTCAAGAAACGTAACGGCAGTTCCGCTAAACACAAAGAAAGCCACGAAGTTTGGTTTAACATTGCGTAAATGTATACTTTTAAAACTATTTCTAGTGAATTAAGATAACTAAAAGTTTGTAAAATATGCTGTTTTGTATAGAACTATTACGGGAGCGGTATAAATACAAACTGTTTTAAAATATTTTCGTTGTTTTTTCTTTGTATATATATGCTAAAACAATTATCTGTACAAACTTTTTTTTTATCTCCTCAGATATTTTTTGTGATAATTTACATCTAATTACATAACTTATCGTCGTTTGGTGCATTTCAGTAAGCGATGCAGAATAGCAGAAATTTTTCTGATGCAAACTATTAATATGTCACTTTGATAACTGACTGTTAAACAGTAGGGGTGCTATTTTCCGAGCAAAGAATGAGCGTTGGAAATGGCGTCTGGGTTCGCAGACTATAGGGGTGCCGGCTAGTTGAAAAATATCCGACTGGATATTCTGGTTAAGTTTGGTTTTCATTTGGTCCTAACCTAACCTGCATCGTTTTGGTGTTTTGTGGATTGTATACTTGCATGCCTCGCTGTATGTAAAGTCCTGGGCAAACTAGGAAACATTGCTGTGGAAACATTTGTGATTCTCGATGTTTCTTCAAATGTTTCCCCTTGTTTTCTCACCCGTGGAAACATTGTTGCGGAAACAAAATTTGCTTCCCGAGAAGCAAAAATGTTTCCTAGCAAATTCAGAAACATTTGATGTTTCCCTATGTTTCTCACTAATGTTTCCTAGTGTTTGCCCACTCTGGGAAACATGGCGAAACATTGGTAGGAAACAATGTTTCCGCAACAATGTTTCCTAGTTTGCCCAGGGCTTAAAGCAGTGTTTTCTGATATGAAATACTATTGAACAAATTTATCCATTTCTTCAGAGTGAAATAAATCTTCACTCAAAAATTGAGTAAATTTGAAATTTTACTCAAAAAATTGAGCTCATAATTCATAAATTTGAGAAATTTTACTCAGAATTTCGAGTCGTTGTGGATGCAATATTTTGAGTTGTTTGTAGTGCATGGACGTTATCGTGCGTCCAGCGAAAATTCTCAGAAACTCTCATCAAAATTTGAATGTCGATGAGAGTTGGCGGTCAAACCACAGTCATTTCTCATCCTCTTTTGACCGATATTTAAGACTTTGCTCAAACCGCTTATTCTACGTCTATGTCATTCTCTGGTTCTTCGGGGACAGTATCCAACTGAGTTGAAGCCCTCTTAGACAATGGCCTATCTTCCTCTAAATCTCTCCACCTGTCTTTAAACCAAGGCATGATGTCAAAGTAAGAGAACGTAAATGCTCTTGTAATCCTCTGGTCCAACAACAAATTCTGGAAATCTTTGAGTAACGTTTCTAAGAAAGTTCGTCTTGCCAGTTGTCGTTCTCTTGCGGCCGCTAGCTCTTCCTCCATCTGCCGTCTTTCTTCGAGCATTCTTAATCTCTCCGCTTCCCTTCGCTCCTTTTCTTCCTGAATTTCACGTTTGATTCTTTCCTCCTCAAGCCTTCGTTCTTCCATAAGTCTTTCGCGTTCTGTTTCTTCCAAATGCGCGATCTTTTCTGCGTATTCTCTGCGGCGTTCCTCTTCAATCTGTTCCTCGACTCGTTCTCTCTCCTTGCGTAATTCTTCTTCAAACTTGCGCTCCGCCACCAGTTGTTCTTTTCTGCGTTTCCATTCGTCGCGTGCTTGACGTTGTCGTTCGATTATCAAACGTTCTTGTCGTGCGTGTTCATTCTGCTCCGCTTCAACACGCGTGCGCTCTCGCTCTTCCTGCTCCTTTTGTATTCTGAAACAACGATAGAAAGACAATCAGAGAGGTACCCTGGTTCCAGAGACTCTTAAGAACAGCGAGGCGAAAGAACGCCGAGGCAAAAGTAACACAAAGACGGAATAGCCTCTGGTCCAATCGATCAAAGAGAATCTTACTTCGTTAGGTTCAGAATTGTAAAAATATGTCAAACCACATTGGGAAGTAAACATGTACAATAACTAATTGGAGCCTGCAAATGTTTATTACTGTACTTTGCATGTTCTATAATCAGGCTTTCTCGGCCGATTTTCCCGCCATTTTTTTGGGGGGGAGGGGGAGTACTGTCTCTCCCACGAGAGTCTCCGCACCACGAAATACAACTTTTTTAGTATTATAGTTGTTTTGTCTAATGGTAAATGTGCAGTTACAACTTTCAAAAGTCGCTTTTCACGTTGTTTGAATTGTCTAGATCTTTCATGAGGGTAGACAGTACCCCAAAAATGACGGATTTTGGCCTGAGAAAGGCTAATTAGCTATTGTGCCCAGTTATATATACTTGAGACCTTTTAGAAATTTTCTTTTACGCTTTGCAGGGGCTAAATCAGTGTGACCATTTCTAAGGTTATAATTAGTTTGCATGAGGTTTTATTAATGATTCCTTCAAGTTCGGTCCAATGTAACCATCCAATACTTTGTACATCAGTATTGATTTGGTTGTACATCGTCTCTAAACTGATTTACCAAAGGCACTACTAAACCCTACCTTCGTTCCTCTTCTCGTTTCTTCATTTCTTCATCAGCTTCTTGCCTTAGGACGTCTAACCGAGCATCTTCTTCTTGTGCTCGTCTTCGTGCTTCTTCGCGCTCCCGTCGTTTCCTTTCGACGTCCTGTCGTCGGCGTTCGGCGGCCGCCGCTCGTTGTGCTACCCGAGCATTTGCTCTGCGTTGTTTCTCGGTTAACACGATCTCTGGCGAGGGTTCTCGTGCGGGCGCCTCTACTGTGTCCGTTACCACGTTTGTATTTACGTTGTCAAGGTTTGTATTTACGCTCTCACGAAACACTGCGTCTCTGTCACGTGGACAAGCTTTTTGTTCACGTGGCGAAGGAGTTTTATCACGTGGTGAAGGCGTTTTCTCGGGCGGCGATTTCTCACGTGGAGAATAACTTTCAGCACGCGATGACTTACTTTGAGCACGCGGCGAAACGGTTTCAGCACGCACAGAAACCTCGTCCTCACGGGCAACTGAAATTTTCTCATCAGGGGGAGTTTTATTCCCAGCACGAGAAATGGACTTTTCAGATCTTGCCGGAGAAATCCTATGTTCTACCTCCCCCGTCTCTGAATCTACCCGAACCGGAATTCCGGGGGGTGGAAGGTCGGAATTTGTAACAGGTTCTGTAGTTTTAAGTTCAGTCTTTTCCTGCAAATCCGGGCTTGCTTGTTTACCATTTCCCTTTTTGCGAACCTCGCCCTTTTTTCGGGCCAGCCCTTTGGGTGGTTTAGTTTCGGGCACTAAACCCGCATGGAATGGGGGAGTCCTGCGCACAACAGACTTTTTCTTTTTCACTTTATTTACAACACGTTTCGCATTTCCCCCTTTTTTCACCTTTCCAACTTTGTTTACATTTTCTTTTGTTTCTTTCACTGCGGGAACGTCCGTTTTCGTTTCTTCCTCTTGCTTGTTATCTGGTTGCAAATCTTTCACAGTCAATAATAATTCGCCTCCTGGTGACGGGGTAGCCGAGGTTTGAGGAGACTGGGTTCCACTATCTTTACCTGCTTCAGTGTCCACGGTAACGGTGACGTCATCTGTGTGAAAAGGAAAAGGGTTGGTCAGTTTGTACTGAAGTCTCTTTTAAGCAAGCATTTAGCTAGGCGGTTTCATCAAGTTGAAATGAACTCAAACTGAACTTAAGTTTCAACCTAGGGGCTTCGGTGGCCAAGTGGTTAGCGCACTTGCCTTTCACCTCTGAGGCTGCAGGTTCGAGTCTCACTAAGTACCTTCTCAGTGCGACTCGAACCCAGTCCCCATGTGAAAAGAGTAAAAGTCAAC